AGGCCTGTCTTGGCATTCTTTTGAGAAAGTCCGATACTACTATGCAACATTATGCACAAAATTAAACGCTTGTGCCGTGTCATTTGTGCTTAAAGATATATATTAGAAGCAAGTTACATTTCAAACACATCCAAGAAACCAGTTGTAAACGTGGAATCCGAATTTGGAATTTGAATTATTTTCTAAATCAAAACTGTACGACCACGGTTTTAGAAAACGGTGTAACTTGTACGTAAAAACATCTTTAATTCATCGAAGCGATTCGATGGTGTTAGTTTTTTCTGCTTTTACTATGGGACGGTCGAACCAAGTCGTACCACAAATTAGTCTCGATCTCTGAAAGGCGGACGGATGAAATTTCATGAATCGGTGACGAAGCAGTTAACAAAATGAGGTTATTCGCATCAACCTTAATAGTGCAGGCTATCTGTCTAAGATACGACGTCAGGTGAAAAGACATTAAGCTATTCCAACTGACATTGAGTAGCAATTATAGAAAAATTAGGCAAAAGTCAAGATTTTTTCGAATAACCAAAAGTGGTTTACTGTTCCCAAAATATATCACGCAAATGCCTTTTTAAGTTCAGATATTTAGCAAAAAGCTTACATTGACTTATACGGAAACTTGCGATGTGAGTGAAGTGAATCGTGTCGACTAACGTCCATTAACACGGTCGCCGTATGTTCAGTCTCTCTGTCCCCCTTTTAAGAGCGGCCCAACTGATCACACGGAACCGTCCCTTTATACACCCCTGTGCGTGTAGTCCTCCCCACACACATCCGCACATTCAGCCATTTGTACTCTTACGGGTTCACCCAGCCTATTGAAAAAAAAAACCCCGACTTGCCAGACCTGACGTATAATGCGCAGTGGCGCGGCAACGCAACCAGGTTGAGCTGTCAAGTGGGCGGTGGACGCGGCCAACTCCGGCCACCACAGGCTACTCGGGTATCCGTGTCACGTAACCTGGCCAAAACGGCGCGGCCGTCCCGATGCGGTTCAAGACCATGTGCCGGGGCCTTCGACATGCTGATTTGTCTCACCTTTAGAATTGGATTCCCATCAAGTTAACAACTCAACTTAGCCAGGAGATGTTTTAGGTGGTTATAGTATTTGTTTTTGTAACGAAAATACCTTTAGGCCATTCCCTGGCACGTGCTTTTTCTTCTTCATGGGGCAAAGGTGTGGCAAATTATTACGCCGAAGTCATCAGTCCTTGTAGCGAACATCAGGGTTGTAAAATAGACCCATCCTCAACTAGTGAGTACAATGAGCTTGGGTTTTAACTCTAAAGTCCCCCTCTGTTAGGGCTAAGAACCTAATGCAGCCGGTCCGCATCACTCTCAATTCTTTCCTCTGGCCTGCCTCGGCGATATCAGCGCTCATTCTGCAGGACAGGTGTGGTAATAGGTATACTTCTTTAGATGACTTCTGAGGCCCCTTTCCGAGTTGCTGACTCAATTTGATTCGTTGTGCATTTTGAGAGCTTTGATGTGTGAGATTTTGACGTCGGGGTTACAAAATGCAGCAAAAAAGGGCAGAACAGTAAAGAAGGTCGATTCATTTAACAAAGTATTTGCTTCGAATCAGTTCGTCATTACTCCCTTCAATCGAACTAAACTGATAATAATTCGTGGGCCAACTTCTTGAATTTACAATTTATGCATAATGTTTACTTTAATGCCTCAGCCATATACTTTAAAGTACTTTCTACGAAGAAAGATGAAGCAGCAGAACTTGCAAAGCACTACGCTTTTATCGATCACAAAAGATTCGTGTCGCTTTGTAAGAGATGGTAGTGGGCGATGCCGACATCGTGTGCTTATTAACTCGCAGGGAGTGGCTGAAGAGGCCATAAGCTACGAAGTTTCATTAGCTATTAAAACTTTGGGTGATTAGCGCCTCACTATGCGTGTCTGATACACGACTTTAAGGCCTCCAGTGAAGCCTTTTAAGTCTGTGCGCGTCATTGGTAAAAAATTAATTAATGGAATTCTTCGCTGTCGCACAATATGTCAACTAATATTTTTTGGCCCACTCAACTCAAGCACTGAGTTCCATCTTCAGTAATCAAAGATATTTGCGAATATAACTACATGCGTTTATACTGTTGCGACGTTTATGCATTAAAAGGCATTCGTTTGCCATTAGGCCTTCAAAATATTTGAATGGTTAAGGGGAACATCATGCGACCTAATTTGCCAAATTGTTCCAAGTAATTAGATTCTTTAATAAAGGAACAAATCGGATAATCCGCAGACTGCATGAGTTGTTTTGAATCTGTTAAAAGAATCTTTAAACCAATTTGGCCGGAATTTTTTGAGTGGATAAAGTCTCTGTTAGAAGGAATTGAAAAATTCGTGCTCAGCAAAATCTGTTATCTGCTTAACTGACAACAGTGGCGTCGTCTGGCTTTAACCAAGACTAACCTGCTTAAGATGTGAGCCATTCAAAGAGAAAGCCCGTGGTTGGGTCTTTGCGTCGGAGAACAATCTGACTATTCAATATGAAAAGAGCTTTCGTCACATCAGACAAATATTGCGGACAATCTGAGTCTTTGTACTGTTTTTGTCAAAAACTTAGGTATGAAAGGCGTAGGTTTAAGCAGTATTTGACAAATGAAGTTAGAGCCAAAGCACGATAGGCAATTATGAATTTCCGTCAATGTAGCTAACACGAAACCTGTAACGAACATTCCAAACTTCCACAGGCATTGATTTAGCTCTGGAGTTTACAATCAGATCACTTTAAGGGCCTTGTTGATATCAGTTTACTTAAAAAATAATTTGTAATTCCTGGTTCATTTAATACAGACTATTTTTGAACTAAATGTACTTGTTAATAAAATGATTGAGCAGTTATTGAAACTGGCTACCTAACACAGATTCATCTTCACTAAAGGTGTGAATGAGCATCTAAAGGGTTTAAAAGGAACTTGGAAAAATTAATTAGAGAGTCTGATACAGTCTTAATCACCAGAACACACTTTGCAATCTCAACAAGCAGTTTGGCCATCAGAAATGTCTCGATGGCTCGAAACCACAATCCCACAAAAATTTAAAAGAAGACTGGGTTTTGTACCATGAAATCGGATCATGGTTCAGGATCGAAAAATTGCTTGATTATGAGAAAATTCACACTCCAGAAAGTATGGGAACAGGTTCACAAATTGGGGATTCGGGTTCACACTTAAGTGCCGCCAATTTGCTATAGGTTTCTTTAAGAAATTCCGTCTTTTGCGGTCATTAATTAAACACCAATTATTACTTGAAAGTTTGCGCGATAGAAATTAGAGCCTATCAATCAATTTTATATGCAATGTATCCCCATTATTTTTGGTTGAGTTTTCAAGAATTCGACATCGACGCAATTGTCCGAGCCAGAGCTTAAAGACCTTGTTAACATTTCCCTTATAAAATTTTTGAAACTTATTGAATAATGGCGTATTAATTAAGGTTAATGACATGAATTTGCACTTGGAATATTTTTTTCTAAGGCGAGCAAGACGTCACATGCTTACGGAATCATGAAATTTATGGAAAAACTATCAGACAGTGGAAAATAATCGATCAAAGGCTATACATTATTGGAAAGTCCTCTTTAATAATACAAGACTGAAATAACTGACTCGTGAATTCGCAAAAAGGGTATCACGCATCTGTTTTATGAGCAGAATATAATTTTTTACTGAGCTAACCTTTTCATTTCAGGGTTAAAATAAGGAATTCAATATCTGTGAGAAAAATGCGGTCCAGATAAGCTGTAATCCCACACAGGTGTTACCAAGTCACCCTTGATTTGATGAATAAGCTGCTTTCTTATTTTTCATTTCCAAAAGCTGATATGTTGTCATTTATTAAAAAAATGCCACAAAATGAACATTTCAAAAGGCAGTTTAATTCACAGAAAATTTTGCATCAATTAAAAAATTATATTAAGAAGGAAAAAAAATAAGGGAATTTCAAAGAGCCAAATCTATGACTGACCAGTCGAATTTGGAATTCAGCGTAAAAATATGCAAAAGTCATTTTGGATTTTGAGTTAAAGTTCACGACGAACTAGCAAATCAATTCAGTTAAGTGTGTGGCCCAGGGCACGCTTTCCATTAATGTTGTCATGCGCCAATTTTTTTTTAAAATAAAGCAAATACAATTTGTAAAATTAGGCCATTATGAATGGATTGTAAAATCCAAATTTATAACTTATTCTTTGCTTGAGAACATTCTAATTCGCTGATTTAATTTTTGTGGATACGCAGTGTTCACTGTTGAGGTTATTAATATTTTTGGGGTTATGAGCAATGTCATTTACGAAACGAAATTGTGCAAATAAATTCACAACACATCACGGTATTTTCTAAACCATTGTGGATACAATTCGGCATAATCAACTCAATTTAAATATTTTTGTGGAATTTTGAACTGTAGTGGCGATTTTAGCAATGATATGTAATATTCCTTAAACATTCTTTGGTTGAATTTTCAGATTGCATGAGATGTACATTAATCAGTTTAGAAACTAGCATTTCAAAAAGAACATTAGTTTAGTATCGATAATTCACAAGTGGAAGCAAAATTCAATTGTTCAATCAAAATCAAAGACAATTTCAAAAAGACAGTTATCAACTGAAAATTATACATGATGTGCTATTCGCGAATCAAAATTCTACTGTAGTGTCATAACATTTAAAAAAAAACTTAAATTTAAATTGTATAAAGTTTTATTTTTGGTCTTTACCAAATGCAGAGTAGCTCTGATCGTGTCTTAAGATTATAATTCAGGTGTAAACAAATGTTTTTAGTCTCTAAGCAGAGTAAATATTACAATGATTATTCCTTGTCCATATTCAATTGTGGATTGGACTGATGGGATCGTAGCGCGTTGTTCAATGTAGGTGTTTTGCACCTGCCACAAGTCCTATTGGATGGAACTAAGTTGCTTATAATTTTGTCAGTGACTATACACATTCTTGATTTTACTCATAATTTGAATTTGCTGAATGCTTGATCCTCAATTCTGCTCTTTCGGGGTCCCGGTGCCCCCAAAATGTCTCCCTTCACCAAGAACCGTCGCCCGTGTAGCTTCAAACGGCCGTCGACAGGGTGTTGCAACGGGGACGCCGTTTTCTTTACGTCGAGGGCTCCAGCGCTTCGAAACAGTTTTAGATGACGTCGAATTAAATAGTAATAAGTTCTCCTCTCCAGGACGTCGATCCTCATCTCGTACTCACCCGATAACTTATCCTGCCTGCGATCCTCCATTATGTTCAGTAAGGCGATAATTCGCAGACACTACGCAACCCACTTCTATCCTTTGTTTGTTTTTTTGTACCATTCTGGTGATAGATTGTAAGCTCACTTCCAGTTGATGATCAATCTACAGCCATGTAACAACCGCCCCATTCTTTGTCCTGTTAGGAATGTTTCTCCTTTCATGTATATCAGTTTTAATCATTATTCGCCCCTAAACTTCCATTTAGATAGTTTCTCGCAAAAGTACTTAACTGTAAATGTTAGCCATCTGTTCAATGGCAAATTTATTTTCGCGATCTCTTATAATCTTCATTTCTAAATGACTCATTACTAACTAGCTGTTGAACTCTGTTGTTACTTATCGTCGTTTTCGGGTAAAATGGTCATATAACGATTATGTTGTGTCTACTTGTGATGTTTGTTTAATATTCCCAATTTATACTTTCCTAAATGGCAGAATGCTGTTTTGTTCTAGGATTGCCGTCAGTTTGATGCCAAGTTGTCCCCTGTTGGAAGCGACGATGATGATACCTTCAAATTGCTATTGGATCCAGAACGTCCACTGACACCTGATGTAAGTGATGAGGACGTTGTGCGCATGATGTTGACTGCGGCGGCAGCCAACGGTTCTGGTGGCTTCAACGGAAAGCTGAGAGGGGCGTGGTGGTGTGAAAAATGCGTTTCTCTTTTGTCATCTCCGGATGTAGGCATCGGAAATTTGTTTGCTCTTCTGAGACAGTGGACCCCCTGCACTCAACTTCAAATTGACACAATTGTCATGGAGGTGAGTGATTTCTGTAGTGACTTGTTAGTTTTTTGCTGTTTGGATTATAGCGTTCCAAACCGCCCATCCACCAATAATCCACGAAAACTGTCGATAATGATGGTCACTATGAATGTCTGTCCCTTTTTATTATCTCTAATCTTCATTTACTTTAAAATGTAGCATGTTTATAAGAAACAATCGGAAATCGTAACGTTCGGTATGCTCAAATGATTAGCGATGAAGTTCTCGTTATAGACGCAACAAAAATTTAGGTTTAAAGTGATTAAATGCTCACAGGAAGCCAATAAATCAAAGGAGGCACTGACCGGCCTGTCGATCGAGAAGTTTGTGGCTGGAAACTTTGACCATAATTAATTTAATAAGCTGGTGTGCGAGCCTGTAACCCTGAGGGATATTGGGAATGAGCGCGTCTTAAGAGTCTATAGAGGGTGGTCAAAATGTGATTAGTTAGTAGGTGACGTCATGTTTTTTGTTTGGACACTCTATACTAGTCTCTTCCTCATGCCTACCACTCATCAATCATGTGTTTTTACTCGTGGTAAATCTTTTACTTTTAGTTGTTTGTTTGAGTATTACGTTGTGTCGTTTTCATAAGCGATCGTTGTTTACCTCTCTCTTTATTCCAGATTCTAAAACGTGGTGCCCACGTGGACGATCGTGATGGAATGACCGACATGACTCTTCTTCACTACACAGCAAAATCTGGAGCCCTGGGGAATGAAGATTTGGCCTGCAAGTGAGTCCCACAATTTTCAAGAAAAAATTAGTTCATCTAGTCATGCGTGTAGCTGCAGTCATAGTAGCCCCCAGAAAGTAATTCGAAATCCATTCGTCACTTTCAGTCCGTCACAGCCTCGATTTAGTTTAACCGATCTCAATAAACTTATGTGTTGAGTGGTTCGAACCACCGATTTTGTAAAATCGTTTGACAGGAACACCCCCTAAAGGCCAAGTCGTGTTCACACCCAGTTCTCAAAACAAAAAACAAACAAGCAGTGACGCTTGATGGGGTCCTGCTTTAGTCTATTATGGCAAATCAAACGTTGTCTACTCTAATTCCTGTTTAGCTGTCCACTTACATGTTGAAAAGAGAATATTTTCATGAAAAAACAGTCAAAAATACTAAATAATCTAAGTTTTTAAATTCCTACATGCTTTAAACCTGACGTTGAACTATGTAAGTAGATTATTTCCACTCTGCTTGTTTCATAATTTTTTACTTAAGATGAAACGCTCTGCGGCACTTCGAGGCAAGATGCCATCTGAATATGCGCAGTTTATTAATTAATTAGCAACAGGCAAAATCATATCGCAGGGAAGTTTAAGTGTAAACGCTAGTTTTCGTGTTTCGCCTAACGAAGGCTCGGAATGTCCTATTGACCAACTAATTTCTAAGGAAAAATTTAAATTTTGCGAAAACGGACTCCAGTCGGATGGCAACGGTGCAAAGCAATATTTGTAATAACCTAAATTTCGCAATTCCACACAAGCCCAGATCATTGATAAAATTGTTTCTGCAAACCAGTTCGCAGTAAAGCATTTCCGCGTTCCTCTAGGGTTATTCCTGGCGTTGTTCTGTTTTCAGAATCTTCAAGTATGGTCGTTACTCGAATCACTTCTGCCTTCAGCGTCTCATAGAGATTTTCCTTAGGCTTGTTAATGTAGAGCATGTCCCACAGAAGTCTGACGACATCTCTAGGCAGTCTTTCCACCACAAGTTTGTACTTGGCGTCATCTAAGCGGACGTTACTCCGCCTAAACTGTTCTTCGGCCTGTTTGAACCAGTTTTCGACGTCGTTCTCCCAGAATTGCGGAAGCGGAGGATTAGTTTTGCGCTGCATGGTGTTGCTCTGGGATTTTTGGACGTTCTTTAGAAAATCGATTTAGTTGTAACCCTGCGGTGGCATGTGACCTGTTCGTGGCGTTGTAAGTTGTCATCGTTGCTTATAGTCGCTCGCTCTATTTTGATAGGACTCCAGGCGAACCGACGTCGCCCCCCTCATTTGCCGGTGGAAATTGTTCGTCGGCGGGCACACATAAGCAAACGGTTACCGCTAGTTATGGGATCAGGCCTGGCTATCTTGGTGCAGATGTAACTTAGTCGGACACCTGTCTAATCAGGTGTGACTGAACGAGCTTTATCATTGCACTTTTATGGCGCCTTGCTCAACTCAAGGTCCACGCCAGAAGGTCCCTCCGCAATCGACTCCGGATCAATCGTTTTTCGGAATGACGTTAATGCAACCCTGTCAGCCACACGCGTTTCCGTTAGTCGTGTTGAGGGTCCCGGCGTGGTTCAAGGCAACATGCCGGGGCCATCGATCTACGTTGACAAGGCCCAACCGAAAGATTAGTAGAAATGCAGCCCGACTTATTTACTGATGCGGTTGTGGTGTGTGGGTGTGCAGGATAACAAGTGCGTTTATATGGCTTCGCTAAGAATCGGTCCTTGAACGAACATAGCTACGGGAAGTGCATCCACGTAAACCAATTGAGTTATGTTCGCTCATGCTTGCTGACTGCATTCGCTCACGATTGCCAACTGTGCTCGCTTGCTGCTCGCCACAGTCGAATGGATCAGACTGGAACGTTTGTCCGTATTAACTTCAGAGCGAAAGCAAACATGTCGCTTATTCGCATTGAGAATACTGAGAACCTGAACACAGATGCTGTCAACGACATGAAGGCTTCGTAATACGCAAGAAACCGTGCTAAATGTCTTGGATTATCGCCTTAACAGATTAAATAGGTTTTTTATGCTCTTGTGCACATGACTATTTGGAACTCAACTACTTCAAGTTGGATTCCATGCTATCCGGCCGTGATACAGGGACTTGATCTTCTAGAGGTCTTAAGAATGCTCAACGTTGCTGGTGACAGAACCCCCTCACCAATGTTAGGCGGTCGTTATCGTGCATGGCAGGTTCTTTCGAAATCAAGAAAAACTGGCTGGAGTTAGTTTTTTTTCATGCCCTTCGATGTTATCCATACACTAGTTGGCGCATTATTTTTTTTTAAATTTTAAATTACGAATGCGAAAATTGTGTAGACAACTAGCCTTTCTTTTATTCGCCTAGTGGCCTGGGTTCATTGTTGCTTCAGTTGCTCAAGCGCATTCTTAAATTATGGTATTTTACCGGGCATTGAAGGGAAGATGCTGGGTCACCAATAAAGCCTAATGTTCACTGTCACACCGTCTCTTAATACGAAGGGTAAGAATAAGTGTATACGATGTTGCTTCCTTTTGTTCTGCACTTGATTCCACGCCAAAGGATAACCCCCTCCCCCATTCGTTGCGTAATGCCGAGAATGTCTAGTGCGGGTTTTATAGAATCCCCTGCAATGATTTAGAATAGCGGACTTCCTTCTGGACCAAGGTGCCTGTCTTGAGGCCCGCTCGGGATGGGAGGACATGACACCGTTGCACTTCGCAGCCTACTTTGATTGTCCCAAGGTTGCGCAGCTTCTCCTCTGCCGAGGAGCAGACCCCCTGGTGAGGTCCGCGGCGTTGGAAGGCGCAACACCGCTTCACATGGCTGCCGCTCAACTCTCCCTCAGCACTGCCCGTTTGCTGGCCCACGTGCCGCTGTCGGTGGGGCTGCCGGGTGAACCGAATCCCGACTTCGCGCCGCTGGAATCCCCTCTCACGTGCAAGGAAGCCCTTGACGCCTGTTTGCGCACACCCTACGGTAAAGTCAGCTGTTTTGGAGAGACATTTTAGACTAGTTGTAGCCAATGGTACGGATGTCCTGGACATCAGAATGTACTTCCCTTTGTGTGTAATTTCTTTGCGTTATGTGCCAATAGTGTACAATTTGTTACAATGTTGCCACGCTTCAGGGTGCAAGTAGTTTCACATTTTCAACGGGTCTTCTCTTGGTGGCCATAAAACGCTATTTGTCTGCCTTCCACGAATGCTGTGCAACTTGGTATGTTTGTGCTCCTAATTTGTTTGAGAAAGTGAAGCCACACTAACTATACTGCTTACTATCGACTGTTTGCGAAATCGCAGCTTCTATGACCCATGTTGATTGCCTTTTGTGCGTAGATTGCCTCCCACCGGCTGGCGAACTGCCCGAACCCCTCTCCAGCATGCGCGATCGCCTGGCCGAACTCCTCGGTCCACCCGTCGACTCAAAAACTAAGCAGCAGGTACGCTCTTGCACTCTGTTTCTTCACGCACCTGCCTTAATCGTGGCTAAAAGACGCTATTACGTGGTTGCCTTGTTGCAGCTCGTGTTTCTTGGAGCTGGATGCTCTCCTTCGGAATACCGCGTACTGCCTGCCTTGCAACACGTCTACGTCCATGCCGATCACACGAATCCCGGCGGAGGGTTGTCTCCGGTGGTAGGGGGCATTCGATCGGCGGCCACTTTAAACGCCAGCGCAGACCCCACTAGGAAAATGAGCGAAGGAGATAAGAGGAGAATGCCCAATGACATATCAGGTTCCCTATTCAGTGGACTTCTGGCCCCTGCCTGCAGCGCTACGGAAGTAGCTGCTCCCATGCCTGGTAATCATCCCTTATGCTGACTACATTCACAGGGCCGACAGTTAACTTGCCTGGTGGTCTTAAAACTAGGTTCATGTGAGGCTTTGGTGCGTTTGAATTTGTGGGCCTAGTCAGCTTACGTTGTGCCCTAAGGTTTAGACTCCTCGTGGGGGCAGGTATGGAGCCTCGACCTATGTACAGATAATCGAAAGCGTCGGTTTTTCAGGACTTTCCATCCCACCAAGTTCCTTTTTCCATCTAGAATGCACATCATTTTTGTTTGACTGGTTCCGCCTTTTGCTGTTTAATGACCGCTGACCGCATTTGATTCACTGTTGGTTGTGCCCAACTTGTCGCTAGATCAAATCCCTTTTTCAGTTCTTACGTCTGTCGCATTCTCGGTCACTTCCGTCCCCATAGTAACTGAAATCGATGTCTTAATTAATCGGTTTTTTCTTTTGCAGTGTCGCCTCTCCATGCACAAAGGTATCTTTAGATTCCTTGGGGAATCCTGCTCTCACTAATGCATAATTATGCCCCTTTCTGATATTCAGCAATCTTTTCTCACGCCAATTAACGCGCCTTTTCTCACACTGCTATAGCAGTAACAAATCACTCAGAATGCCCACGCAATTATCTAATTATACCTAACACGAAATTTTGTAATGTTATATCCTTAACTGAAACACAACTCCTAGCCATTTCCTGCCACCACTAGCTTTAGTCACTTTTTTAGCCGAAACTGGAGTACTCTCGCCCCGAAGGCCGCGACGAACAACGGTGGCGTCCACTGAACCCAATACTCCATTCGCTTCTCCTTCAAGGAGTGGAGCAAGTGTCGCGTCTCCCCCTCTCCTCCATCCTCCTCCGACCTCGACGCAGATCAATCACCCCGTCCCGACTACCTCCAACGTCTCTGCGAAGGTCACTCTTCAAGCCATGGGCCTCGCGATTGGCGACCGAGTCTGCGTGGGCCCCGGCAGTTCCGCTTCCGCGTCTGGCGGGACTGCTCCCTCCCCGAAACCCACAACCAGCGGAAGGATGGGGCGCTTGAGGTACTGCGGTCCTGTGGAGTTCGCCTCGGGCATCTGGGTGGGCATCGAGTTGGACGAGGCGTTTGGCAAGAACGACGGCAGTGTTAACGGGGTAAGTCGGCAATAACACTGCCGTCTCTTCCACTGTTCGTCACAACCTAGGACTTCGGTTTCCATGTGTATTTTTCATGCTTTCCAATCCATGCTCCATTCTATGGATTATCTCATGAATCTCTCAGTGTGGTTTGAAAAAAAAAAGCATTATTTTCTGATGTCAATAGTCTGCTCTACTAAATCTTCGTTCCCCCCTAGTGCTATAGTCAATGTAAGGATTTCCTAAAATTTTTCGCGATAAAATTTGTTAAAATACCTGGTTAATTTGTAAACTAGAGTTGGCAACATCATGCTTTGTGCTATCAAATTTTCATCTGACCCTTGCGGTGTGTCAATTCTGTCAACCTCCACAAGCGAACAGGTTTCAAGCCAGCAATTAGCTGTCCCTTCCTACAGTACGAGTCTCGTTATTTCATGGTAGTCTTATCCTGTAAACTATGCAGCTTTTGCAGTCGCCTTACAGCGGAATACGCTAGGCGTCATTGTGTGGATTTCGCTGTCTTGAAATATGTAGAATTCGAATCTAACTAGAAATTTTCTCTTGTCATCAATCTAGATGACTAGCTTAACACACCGTGTTGTATTTTGTTAAAGTTCGCCATGTTTAAATCCTTGTTGTTGCCTAAATAAGAGGTATACAGCTGCTTGCAAAAACGATTTTTTGTAGGAATAATGATAGATGAAAAAGTGGTTCTGTTTTGAAAAATTGACGGAAATTTAATCCAGGCTCTGCAGTTTGATATCTCTCCCTTCCGAATTGGCACTTATGATGTAGTTAGATCCCCTGCATACTTTCTGTATCAACACTCTAGGTCACCTACTTTGAGTGTACAGAGAAGCACGGTATATTCGCTCCAATAGGTCGAGTGTACAAGGTCAGCCGTTCCAGCGGCCAGGTTCGACCCTTTTGCGTGGAACCGAACGGAAAGCGGGCTACACCGACTCCTGTGCAGAACACGCCCATCGACGTCTCGCACGTCGGCGCCAAAGTCGACACTGGTAAAATCAGTTCTATTTTATGCCTTATGGGAGATGCTTTGGCATTAATTTTCCAAGCCTTCTTTTACCCTCTTAACGTTGTTTTTTTTCCAACTGAAGTAAACAATTACGCGATATCCTCGTCTGTGCGCCGAATGTGGTAGACTATTGTGAAGTGGACGTTTCAGGGCTGGGCGACTGTTTGTTATTCCTACATCATCCACGGCCACAGAATAGTTGTCTTTTTGAAACTCCTGCGATTACATCCTGATTGTTTTTGTTCTGCTAATCTCATTGAATTGAGCAGAAATCCCGACTCCAATATTTGTGTATACCGAGATTCAAAGTATAAGACGCAAATACCAGGCTGTGGTTACGTTAAAATGGGAGTCGATTCCTCCGTGCATGACTAACAGAAGGCTTATTTTGGTTCATTGACATGCCCGAATACCGTTTGCATAGCAATGTTAAAACATCTTCAGCTTAGAATGGGAACAGGAGATATCAACTTCGGGAAACTGAACTGTTTTAAACCACAGGTCATTTCAGGGTCCTGCGCGTATTCAATTTACGGCATGTCTGATAACTGTGCGCTTGAAGATTTTGCGCTGTTGGAAAATGCACTCAAACACTAATTTTTAGGGTGTACTACGAATGTCAAATCGAATCAAATTCGCAAATGAACATACGTTACAACTGTCCTACCTATCTTCGTGTTGGAAAGTTGGCAACATTTCCCTGTACAGCAGACTCACGTTACTAAAATCATATTTGAGACCTGTGCTGTTCTGTTTCCGTGCTTATGACTTGTTTCAATTCGTCCAGGCTTGCACAAATCGGTTGCACTCGACGACATTAAGATCGGTGACAAGGTCTTGGTAGCGGGCCTTCGGCGTGGAATTGTTCGCTTCATTGGGGAAACTCAATTCGCCCCAGGTAAGTCACCCGTCTTCCTGATTCACGGCTAAAGAATCCGTGTCAAAACTCTAGTTTTTCCTGCTGCATGTCAATTTTTCACTTCGATCGCTGTTTTGGCTCGTATGTCACCTTCTCAGAGTAAAGTAAGCCAGTGGCCACCTGCCAAGAGCGCTGCCGTGATAGTTGTTTTCTGTAACCATTTCGAATGTTTAGGTGTTTGGTACGGCGTTGAGTTGTCAAAGGCAGTCGGGAAAAACGACGGCTCCGTAGATGGAGTGCGATATTTCACTTGTGAGCCAAAACACGGTGTCTTCGCCCCTGTTCTCCGTCTTCAAAAGTAAGTCTAGCTTTTGTTTAATTTAGAGTTACCTTTTTTACTTATAAACTGGAAGATCATCCTATGTTGGTTGTTCTTTTGACTTTTATAATCATCACTGCTCCACGTATATTTTAAAAGCCACGGTAACACAAGAGGACATTCAACCCTGAGTGTCATTTCCCTGGGAAAGTTATGGTGAGGTCGGTAGAACGTTGCCAGTCCTGTTGGTGAGACCAACTTCATCCAGTCGCCGGATGTGGGTTGATAGTTTCCACTTTAGACTCATTTACTGTAGCTACTCATTGTTGGCGTTTTGTGGCTTTGCTATTAGCAGAAGACTCTATACCACATCGGTGGTAACTGCCAAAACTTGTAGTTGTAGCATTCGCCAACGTCTTCAGGAATGTAAAACATTGAGTTTCCCATACACCTGGCACTGACCCTGTAGTGACAACTAGTACCAGAAATCACACTTTACAGGCTTCCATCTCGAAACCGGCCTGCGAGCAACGACAACCTCGACATGAGCCAATCAGTGCACGCCGATTTTTTGCGAGACTGGTCCTCCTCGTGTGCCAAGTGTCCAATGACCCCGGAGAGCGGTCATCGGAGGTCTCCCAGCGCGGGTGTTGCCACCTCGTCGATGTACGCGGACACCTACGCCTCTCTCGGGCGGATGCGGCCGGCAGCAGCCCTTTCGAGGGGCGCGGGTCGGACAGGCGCGAGCGACAGGCCGGCGCCGGAGGACTTCTGTCTCCAAATTGGAATGCAAGTTCTCTGCACCGGCGAGCTTGGTAAGCGGTAGGCACTTGTCTATTTGCGTACGCACATCTGGCCGACCTTGTCATCTATCGCGGTATGCATATTATTCCAGACCTCAAGCACGGCACTTTCTCTGGTTTACTTGTATGTGTATTTTGGTGGGCGTTACCTCCTTAAAATACGTCCATTTCAGTTGACTGCGCGATAAACATGCCCCTCTACTCCTAGCACGAAGTCAACTTTGCTAACAGCTCTTTATTAGTAAGGGGAGCTATTTGTGCTTCATTTAAATTCATGCGACTGCGATGCATTTTCTTCGCAATTAACAAGGCTTTCTTTTCCACTCTTTAGTAAAAGTGTTACTCGTCGCCAATGTACATTGACTAGTTGACCTGATTTATGAACTGAAATCTGTGGTGCTATTAGGTGTAGAGTGAAAGTGGTGTGCAAGTAGTGCTCAAACGCGTTTTGTAGAAATTGTTCCTGCCTACCGGGAAATTCTCCCGTATCACTTCAATGGGCAAATTGTCAAGTTTTTTAATTTTAATGTGTTTTTAGCTAATTTCGACTGTCGGACCCTTCTTCCACGCACAAGAAAGGCGTTATAATCACCCCGTTGAATTCATGGTAGGCTCACTGAATGACATGAAGTTTTTAACCATCCTTGTGTAGCCGCTGCCTCCCTCAGCGAATTTGAGTGACGAGTGTCGGCAACAAGACCTAAGTCCATTAACTATATTGAGTTTTATGCTCAGCGGAACTAACTATTGAGGAGGGACTTGTTTTAAATTGCTGGCACCACTGCCTAAGGCCCAGGTAAACTCGAAGTATGTCTGATCTGCAAAAGGCTGTATTATAGCGTGGCAACGCAAATGCAATAGTACGGATTGGCTTGTTGGTTTTGCCATATTTCATCATTTTGTGTAATCCGCTTGTAAATTATCGGTATTCTTCCGTGTGCCTTGGGTAGACAGTGCAGTCAAGGTGATGTTGAGTTTGGGATTTTGCTTCTTACCGCTTAACTTCTACGGAATGCGGATCTGTCGTCTGCCTTGTTATTAACTAAACACACCCCTACTGATAGCGGCGATTAGTGTTAGATTAAAGCAAGCTACTGGGCATGTGGTTTGGCAATGTAGATTGGTCGATTGCCCTGATACTTGGTGCTTTTCCCCAGGCACCCTTCGTTACATTGGCCCCGTTGATTTTACTGACGGGCTGTGGCTGGGCGTTGAGTTGCGCGGTCCTCACGGCAAACACGACGGGGCTGTTGCGGGCCGCCGTTACTTCACGTGCCCGCCGAACCACGGGGTCTTGGTTCGACCCTCTCGCGTCACCTTCCGCGGAATCAGCGCCGCGAAGCTCCTCCCGCCGAGTTTGGCCGCCACTTTCGAACGCCCCTCGAAGGGGGGGGAGGCCCTGGACACGCGGTCTGTCCGGAGTCACCCCTGAGCTGCTTCTCCGACACCCGCCGCTGCCTGTCTTGGCCCCGTTGATGCGGACTTCACGCCCAACTTTCTTTCGATTATCCCTTTGGTTCATCGAATGACTTCCGACCGTGGCTTCACTTCGCAAGGGTCCTTTTCGCATGCTGAGGGCCCTGGCTGCTGCGGACTATCTCTCTCTTTTTTGCCGAGATCGCGGTCTTTCCATCCGAATTCTTATTTCAGTGTTTCACGTGACTTTTGGTTTATTGCCTCAACTCGCTTCTTCCCCTAATGCCACTGTTCTCCATGCATTTTGTGATTCTTCGACACATTAGCGCCTGGTAACCCATCTACGTAGACTTTTTTTTATTTTCTGCTAATCTTCTTTGTCTTTTTTAATATTTAAGGACTTCTCACAGAATAGTTGTGGAAAGGAGGGTTTATGTGTGTGTGCCCCTTTTGGGTTTTGTCTGCTGCCGCGCATTTCATCCAAAAGAAACCCTTGTAGCTCGACTCTTGTCACATTCAAATCTCATTTCAACCCTTGGCTTATTCTTATTTCCATCAAACACTTTTTCTTGGTGCATTTAATCATGTGTTTTCACCAAATGATCAACTTACTCATTAAAAATGCTCTATGAATTAACTGTTTTTTTCTCTAGAATAGTGTGTGGCATAGTAAATACACAATTCCCTTGAGCCGCCATGCGACTACCATATTGATTTGAAAAAAAACCACTCGTTCTTGAGATCGCTGTAGGTTTGACTTGATGTTGCTGGCCGTAGTGAACAAAATGTTCATTCCGTCAAGGTACTTGGTGTGTATTAAGTGAAGACGGCTGGGCGTAATTCCAAAGCAGAAAAACACAACTCTTAACTGCCGTCGTCGGTACTAAAGTGGGGTTTTAGTTTTCGAGACAGAGAAAAAGTCCACCATTAATGTTTCTGCATAGACGCCCTCTGAAGGCTTAAACGCCACCCCTTTTAGAGCCTCGCTTGCGCACTGAATTAAGAACTGACGACTCCAGTCCCTTACAATCACGTACTTCAGTCTGCCAAACTGTTAAGTTAGTCTTAAAGGTTTCAGGTACACGGGAACTTTGCAGGATTGAGGTCTGTCGGTAAGCCTTAAACTGGGATTGCTCCCATTCACCCGGCCCTGGCTAGGTCGAATTGAAGCTCACCGCAAACGCTTTGCCCTTATTGGTCGTCATTGTCACCAGTAGAGTTGTTGTTACCGCAGGTTGTGATGCCAAATACTGATTCATCTCAAGTGACTGTTTAGATTTCTAGCAGACTGAATAAATTTGCCTAAAATACGTCGTAGACATCAACTTTAATTAGCAGGATCCATAAAAAAGAGCCACTGGGACGGGATGTAGCTGGAATCCTTGGAATTCGGTCTTGACAAGGTCGTTCGGGGGGAACACACGGGGGCTGCAATGTGCTCTAGGCCACCACCATCTCCACAACGTATTATGACCTGCTCATCGAGTTTCGGTGCAAACACGTGTAAACTGCCACTGAGAGGGAGGGTAGTTAGGGGGGGGGGGCTGCCTGTGTTCTCCCATCGACATCATTTCCCGATTTAACTTGAGGGATCTCCAAGATCGCCGCGAGATGGTTTTCTTATCAGTGCAGGCTTATCTTGGCGATCTCTGCCAACGTGAATATTTCGAACCCAATAAAAAAAGGTTTTCCCGTGACAAATCGACACAATATATATAGTTAGTACCTTCAACGGCATTTCCGAGCCCTTGAGATACGGATTCCCTAGACGCCGCACGTGACCGTACAAGGCTGATTTTGATTAAACCACTAAGTCAGGTTATTCCGTAAACCATAATATGCTGGAATCCACATTAGAAGACTGATGTAAAGGTGTCTCATTCCTAGTTTAATTAAGTCTTTCTGGTGCTCGCGGCCTCTCTTGTAATCCTGTACCTTCTGTGACACCCTGGTCCGACTTTGAGTTGCAGGTCCCCAGAATTGATTGTTGGGAAGACATACCGTGCCTTTTTATTACATCTACTTATTTTGTTCAATAGGCGATTTGGTTCGTCATTTGAAGCCCACCAACTAGATGTTGCCGTAAGTAGGGAAAACTAGGCGGTGGGTAACGATTAGCGCTCGCGCCTTTTTTGGGTTCTGTGTTAGCAATAACTTTAAATGTCTGAGAGTTTGCGCTACTTTTGATAATTCCATGTCCCTGACTTTCACTTTAAGCAAATTACGTGCATTCGATGCTTATTTTTGAAGTGAATCTAGTTCCACTGCAGGCCACAATGCATTAAAACGAAAAAAACCACGCTTACCCGTCAGCTTCGCCCAATCAACCCAAAGGAACACGCCCTCACTTATTGCTGCTTGGATAGCGCTATTAGCTCAGGCGGGGATGAAGCTCCTGAATGTCGACAACTCCGGGAGATCGTCTGCCACACACTTCCCACCATTTTTCACTTCTTGCCAAACAGTTGATTGCAGGCGATGCGAGCACTGACGAAGTAAGCAGTGCGCCTATTGTGGGGCTTAGGGCTTCAATCTGATTTATTCACGTACCACCAAACAAGGTTCCATGTTTTCTTCATTATTTTGTTTCTTGGAAGTGTTTTTGGGTGTCATCTGGCCTGTTATTTGTTTCTTTCTTGTTTGGTGGTATAGAAAAATCAGCTTGCATGTGAGCACCTATTTTTCTTAACTTCAAGTTGAACTTTTCACTAGTGTAAGCACAAAAAATCGAGTTCGTGTAGAAAATATGAACGCACAAGTGTGGAGTGTCCTTCGCATGACAGTGCCGCATTAGGTGATCTCTCTCTCTCAGTTTTCATTACTGCAATGTACGTTGTCCAAATTTTTTCCTATTAGGACGCCTGAGCCGTTCTCAGTAGTTGTACATCATTTTGTGAGTGAGAAAGACTTCTTGTGGAGCACATGATGCGGGCGTTTATGCGCTGCCAATTCCTGAAATTTCTACTTTACCTTTTTAATTTGAATAGCGCACGATTTATTCTTGGAAAAAGAACGTCAGCATTGTTACATATGTTGAGTTAGTATTATAAATAGCCATGCTAGTGGAAAATAAATTAACGTAGCAGCAAATATATGTACAATAAAAACGTCTAGCTTCTGGGAAACGTGCTGGTTGAATCAGAAATCCCACAATTGTATGAGTTAAGCTGAAAAAGGGTCGTTGGCAGTTCAACAGGTTCGCCAGAGTGGCCTTGATGTCGTATTAGTGGTTTCAGGAGGATTTTCTCGACGCTTCCGCGAGGAGGAGAAGGTCTGTCGCAGTAAGTTACTTCGCACTAGAGTCCTCTGAATCGCGTGGCCGCGATCACTCGTTGCCGTCCGCCTTGGCAGTTTTTTGTTTTCATTCGGGTAGTGAAGGGGCTTCCGGCTACGACGGTCGTAAATCCGATTGATGCACTCCTCCCACCTCTGACCTTGAGGAGGTGGCGTCCTAAGCATTAACCCCTCCTCTGGGCTCATCCAATTTGCCTTTGGTCGATTCACCGAAGTGCGTCTGCATTCAACAGACTTCGATCGTAGAGCTGACTTCAGGTGTGGTGAGGAGAGGGGTGGGGTTTTTGTGGTTCGATGGAATGCGATGCCTTTTTGTGGGCATTTGTGTTGCTCATGTGACTTGATGTAATTCTGTGAGCAATTTGCGGATTTGTGCTTCGTCTGGTAATGCAGGGCTGTATTCCAAGGGAAACCACCTTCTTGTTTAAAAGAGTCGCCGCAAGGTGAGGGGGTCGGCAAAATCTTGTCCGCTTCCTCATCGCTCGACGTGTCGCTTCCTGTCACGGTATCCCAAAAGTCGGTTACCGAACACCCTGAAGTGGGTCGAGGGACTGGATTGTGGGGCGGGACGCCAGGAGCTTGCTTCTGACCCGTATGGCTTCCATGGTGGCAGGCCGTGCTGACTTCTGGATCACGCCGCATGCATGGCTTTGCATGGGGTAACTGTGGTGATGTCTGACACTTCCTGTCCACACGCGTCTCCACACATACTGACGTGTTTGTCGACAGAGTCTCGACTTGTATGCCTCTGTTAACTTGCGGTCTGTCCCTTATTTTATCACTTTGGAGAATGTTTCGGAGTCTGTTAATTCTGTCAAACGTTTCTCGCACAGTCATTATTTCCTCTATGGGAGATAATGCCACATTATGCAGTTCTGCCTTAAATTCTCTCAAGTTTAAACAATCCAGTTCGGCTGAAGGTTGTTGTAGGCGGCCCACACTAACTGCAGTCTCACAAGTTTTTGGCTGTGACTTGTGTAGCGGAACCGTCAGAAGCGGAGATTGCGGGTTTATTTCTCTGGGTGGTGGGTCTTCTGGTGGTAGCAGTTCTCTCCGACACTCAACATGAACACATTTAATGGGAGACCCTCTGTTTAAAATTGCTTCTTTGGTGATAAAGCTTAAAGGGAGTTGTTTAATAATCATTTTATGCTGTACACTCCGCAAATTATTATCAAAAGCCTCGTTAAACACCTGCTCATGGTAACACAATGTGGCTTTTTCTGTCTCTTCGTCCGGTATACATTGCAGACTTTGATCAAATTTCGTAAAAATTTCACATTCTTGCCATATTCCGACAGATGCTTCTTTATTAGGGCTAATGGATTTTTCACCAATTGTCACTTTTCCCTTGTTATGCTTTCTTCTCTCCCTTTCATCGCTACTTCCCACATCCGCGTCGTCCTTATTCTCACTCATGTCAGCAATGTAAAATTTCATATCCCCTTGATGATCTCCAGATAACGATGTTTTACTTCTTAGAGTAAACGTTTTTTGAGTTTGAATGTAATCAACTAAATTTCTTTCTATTAACTTTTTGGTAGGGTTCTCCTCTGAGCAGCGTCCCGAGAAAATGGCCCCAAAATCTATGGGTGTATGAGTTTTCCCTGAGAGTTTGCTATCACGTATACAAGGAATCTCTACCATGCTCTCGTCCGAACAGCTCGTAGTTTCTGCTGATGCTGCCGGGCCATCGAGGTAGGAACAACCACCACCGTCTTCATTAGTTGTCAGGCCTAACTCAGATGACGAGCAGTTTGTAGGTGGCGTGCTTTCAAATGCATTATCATCTGAATTTATATGTTTTGAGTCCACACTGCATTCAGACATCGATCTGACTTCTACCTTTGGGGATATATCTTGACGATGGAAAGTAATCGAGGAAACGGGGGTAACATCCAAGTGGAGTGAAGTACTGTATGATCCTTGGTGCTCAGGCATGAGTTGGTTGGCTGCTATCAATTCCTGACTGTTTAATTTTAAATCTTCGAGCTTTTTCTTATTTTCTTTAATTATTGTTATTTTTTGTGGGGATGTCATTAAACATTTCGGGGCACCAACTGTTGTTGGGTTTAATCGAAATCGGGTTGCACGATTTACACCCTGCCGCAAGCGTTCAGAAGCTGTAGTTGGAGAAATTATCGCGGATGAACGGTTAGACGATTTAAAGGGATTCGTTACTTTATCAGCAGTGGCTGATCCTGTAGCTCGCTTGTCCGGCTTTGGTCTGTGTTGAAAGGAATAGAGCCTTGTGGGTTTCTGGTCCTTTATTCTAGGTGGGTTAGGCCGGGATTGGGCCACACAATCTGGCGAACTGTACTCCAGACATACCGTTTGGCGATCACCAGCATTTCCATACCGCACATACTGAGGCCAAAACGCGACCTGTGCAGTTGGTGGGGTTTGTTGACGTCTTTCGCAATGTCGTTCCATTTTAAACACGAGGTTGCTTTCACGCATTTTAAATTAGGGGAACTGCAGATCGATAATCCAACGTTTTAAACCGCCCGTAAGGCAAACCAATTGGAGTACCGACACGAGCCTAGTGCAAAAATGTAATTTAATTTTTTTTTCAATGCGACTTTATTAATGCGATATTATTTAAAGTATTCTTTGCAGAGCATTTTAGAATTTATCTCTAAGCTAGAAATGTCAATTGAGGTTAATTAATGCAATCCATACACCGGTAATGGCCACGGAAAATTTATGCAAAAATAAGGCTCACGCTGACACCAAAATGATCCACGAAGCACCAATGATAGTAATTATTCACAATTAAAATAAGATCAAAGTCTGTGTAAATAATTATGTACACTTTAACGGCATGTGCATAAAGTGTACAATTTTTAACTTGTTAAGCAGATCACGGGGTGGCACTTGATTCTAGACCACCGGATAACAAACTTTTCGTTACATTTCCTACTTAGTTAATTTAATATGAAGCTTCCTGCGAGCAAAAGTTGTAAGTGATTGGATTTAATGCGTCCGCTGGTAAGTACACCGCTTGTGCAATGAGCGCATTATGCCACCAGAGGGTAAAGGCTCTTTCTATCTGCAGTAAATGTGTCATATTTTGGGGAAATCAACAGTAGGCCCAAAATGAGGAGCGGTTAATCCTATTCCCTATTTAATCAGTGCGCGTTTTGAAAATTGTCTTTTAATTAGTCAAAACTTTGTGGTTCGTTGGTGTTTTGTTTAAGGAATTTAGAGATTACATCGCTTGTCTCCGTATAAACAGAATATAAGCGAAATGCCCTCAGTGTTCGAACCCTGATTCACTACAGTTGGTGATGAGGAACGGATCAATTAAACGAGACTAAAAGTGGGAATGAAGAGGGCCCAACTTCTGGAGGGCTTGCATGGGTGAGAGAGACCTTTGCCCCTCTGTTTTTTTTGTCAGAAGCGGCCAATTTCAGTCTGATTCCGGGTGTCGGCGATTATGGTTCTGGTGATTACAGCAAATGGCCTGTGCATCTTGGCGGGTTCTCATGGTCTCGTGATAAAACTGGAGTTGGCAAGGTAGGCGGTACATCGTTGGACTTCAAGTGAATGCACCAAAGCAAAAACTACTTCGTTTTGCTCGGAGCGCTTGGTGTGCGTGTGTGTGTGTGCATTTGGCGTTGGCAGCATTCCACACAGTATATCTCATGGTTGCAACTGACATTGATACCGACGCTTTCCATGGTGTGAAGTGGCCAATGTCCAACATATTATGTCATTTCTAATTAATTGTGTGCGCAGCAATTGAGTTCAATCAGTAACGAAGTTACCTGTTTGGGGGGGTGTCTGCAAACATTCAAGAACCCAACATCGTCGGCCAGAAAACAGTTTATCACGAGACGAGTTGGCTCGCTCGATTGAGCTAACCATTACCAGCCCTTTGGCACACGCATAATACTTTTCTTTTGTCATTTGTTTTACGGAAGGAAAATGATTAACTCAGATGAGAACGCTGGAAGTTGTTTGCCGACAACGTGGGATGATTTGTTGCTATCTTAACTACTTTGCTGTAGGTAAAACGGTGATTATCTTGCACAATGCACCTGCGCTTGAAAAAATATAAATTATGTTATCATTGCTGAAAAAAATGTGTCCTGTTACGCGAGGTCAACGCATTAGAGTGCCTAATTCTTGGAAGTTGGAGATGTTTAAGAATGATAAAGCATAAAACAAACATGGGTTTTTCAGCAATTCACACTTTGAATCGTCCTTCAAGATTCAATAACGGAATTTCTACAACGATAATTTTCTCACCAGCACTGGTTCAAGGATTGTTTAAAAGTTGTAATTTGTCTGCTTGAAGGTTCACAGGAAATTCACGTCAATGCGGATAAGGTTTTGGAAGTGAGTGCAGATAAACCACACGCAAGATGTCTGAGTCATTGAAAAGATTGGCATAATACAATGCTGGGAATTCAGCATCCCCAAAACCAAAGCTTTAAGACTTTTGGCATGTGTTTAGGCGCGCCAACATTTGCAGTCTTATCGTCCCTCACTTGCCCCATTGGCCTTTTCACCTTTGAGTGTACTTTTGCCTGCGCTCAAGGCCGCCGACGACATAAATTACTGGACGCATGTGAACAACGTGCTTCGGGCTTTGGCTGCGACGGTAAAAGCACCCAGCGCGGGACCTTGTTTTGTTCTGGCGTGGGGAGGCCCTGACTCCAGCCTCTTTTGTCTGACTGTTAATTTGCGAAGCCTCTCGCCTGTTAACAAGGCTTGTAGTGGCTAGTGGTCTAAGCACTACCTTACAACCCTCTAGTTAACAGCCCGTAACAACCCGAGAATGGAGAGAAGAGAGGCGACAGAGGACACGACCGTTTATTAGCGTCACGCCAGCCAAGTGTGTGTCTTAGTGTGTGGATGAGTGAACGGATGACAGGCATCTATTACAGTAACCAATGAAAAGGAGATGAGTCATTGTCACCGTTAGGTCAGTAACCAGGGTTCACTCAGGCGCGACCGCTGTCAATCCGCTACAGGCTTTCGCATCTGTGTACCGGGGCACAGTAACCATAATCGTGGAGATTGTGTTTGGTTAAGATGATACGCTACATTGTCCTGAAAATGTCACGTTAATTATGTTCACAGGAAGTCAAACCTTAATGAGAGCCTTCTCTCTGTGCTGAAAAACCCTAACAGGAAACATTTAAACTACTAGTTTGCCTTGGATAATGAATTTGTTCCAATGTTTCTGAGTCGTATTGTTTTCCGGTTCAGTTTTAAAATTTGCGGATAAAATCGAAGAACACCATATAAATTTGCCTCGTTATTTGATGCCTTTTTTTCGTTACGAATAAATTCATCCCCAACTAGTATTATGGTTCAAATACTTGCCTATACTTTCGACAATGTCGACGAAATTTCAAGTCGCAAAATCAGAATTAACCCAGGAAGTTCTAACTCATCTTGAGCAAAATCTTATATCGTCCCTGTTTTTAAAGGCTGTTGATCCTTCGGCTTATTGTGTGACATTCGTTTGGCTGACTGACACACTATTTATCACACACTAACCGGTTAAAAATAGCGGATCATGGGAAAAAAATCAATATTTAACCAATCATTCCTCATTAACCATAAATTTCAGCGCCTACTTAAATACCTATGAGCCATAAGCGAAGCGACTCAAAATTGTCCTGTCACAGCTTCATTAAATGTGCTCATCGCTGCTGAACGTTCTTCACGAAAGAAAGTGAAATTAAGCAGAAGAGATAAGCAAACAAATGTTGTTTAATCTGAAAAAAAGTACCACTCATTAAGTAAAACCATAGACTGACCGACTGTACATACACACAGACAGAAGGAGGGCAATCGGGAGGAATCCACATGAGGAACCCAACGAAAACCGTAACCGGGCCGTTCGAAAGCAATTTTAGGCGGGCGCACATGGATACCGTGATTTCTGACAGGCAATGAGGTATCGCTGTTTCAGTTAAGGCTCTGGCTGACTCAAAAAATAAGGTTAAACCAAAAATATTCACTAAGTGCTACCCGTTAAGCGTGTGTGAGGGTAACAGATGTGTGTGCGTGTGTGTGTGTGTGTGTGTGTGTAACATAGACGAGGAGCCAGGACGTGGGTCTACGACGAATGCAGGGGAGGGGCAGCCGGTGGGAGGAAGGGCGAAGTGGGGTGGGGAGCCAAAAGAAATAGGCGCCGTTATCTGAAGGGTGTAAAATATCGGCACCTCTTGAAAAAAAGGTCATTAAGTGGGCTTGAACAAACATATCAGTCGAGTGTGTGCAGAAATATCTTTCAGCCGAACACACATATTTATGTTGGCGCTTTGGGGCTGGAGGGCACGTGTGTTCCAGCACAAACACCTCATCTGACTGCATTCGAAGACACCGTTTTTGCGGGGCTGGCACCGATGAGCCTGTAGAAGAGATTTTCGTCTAATTCCTGGCTCTTAGTTGGCGACCGCAGGCTGAGGAAAACGTTCGCGCCGAGCACCTCACTGACCTTCTGCACGGGAACCCCAACCGGGCGGATTATGACGCGGCCCCCTCCCGGATGGTCGCTCTTCCTGGAGGCGTCGGGGGAGGCAGCGTTGTCGCCCGGTCTGTCTGCGGGGTTCGGTGTGGGAGCGAGAAGCAGAACTAGCTCATTCAACTCCCTATTCACGTTCCATCCTTGAATCGTATCCAATCGCCAGGCCGCGTAAATTTCACCTGCCACAAAATGACGGACACGCATTAGACTCAGAGTGGCTCATTAACAATAGACCCTTTTCGGACAGGGTTATGTATTTATAACACTTAATTATTGGGTAATCACCTCTGGTCGAAGCGTCTAATCCCAAGTCGGTTTATCAACAGGTAGGTCATTAAGAATCTGATGACGAGGACTTGGGGGTTGGAGTGTAACCTTTAGCTATTCACTTTGCTTCTCAGAGGACCAGATTTAAAAGGATGTTGCTACCACACAGGATGGCACATTAACCGATTATGAGAAATCGGCCGTTGGAATAGGAATTTGTATAGTAGCGCGAATGTAATGACTTCAGGTAAGCATAATCAACAAACAGAGGTATCGCTGAAATTGGATGCACATCTGATCTTCGGTTGGTAAAGAGGGTAAAGTGAAGATCGAATAAGCCATTCTGTTGGGGATCCACGATTCCCCAAGATTGGTTTCTGATTCTATTTACATTAATTTACTAATATTAGTTTTGTTACGCTTTTTATCAAGTCAAGGTCAACCCTGACTTGAATTAGTTTCGTTTTCACTTTCGATACTTGACTTCTCTGCACGTGGCTCACGTGAATAGAGCTCTCTACTCGAGCTCTGGCCTTGTTCTGGTATTAGCCTGGGAAGGTCGGTTCTAGCTTCAGCAAGGGATCTGGTACCGTTATTTGAGTGGTCTTCTCTTTTGTTACGGGCAAGCGAAACACATTCCTATGAAATTAACTTCAGTTCAAGATATGTCACTTCAACCGCTTACGTTAATTGTTACAGTAGCTGTTTGATTCTACATACGCATATTTCTGGAGAAAAATTATGATAAATAGCACTTATCAGTTTAGTGGGTGTTGGACCAGTCGGACCGAGTTATACCGATCATAGTGTTGCAGAGCCCTAGTTTTAGGGTGCTAGGCCCCATTCGCCAGATGGATGTAGAGGATCAGATTAGACAAATTACAACAGTTTTTCCACGGGGACGAATGCTGCACCTTGGCTGCTTCATTTAACCTGGTTGACTGTGAGTAGTGGTAGTGCTGAGCCTTGGTAAATGAAACTCTATGACATTAAGCATCCATTGTTTAAGATAACACGTGTACGGAGTCCAAAGCTGCGAATAGGCAGTTGCGTTTCGGACCCAGAACGTGTGCATTCGATCGTGGACTTCAAAATTGCGTAAGCGATTATTGCTTGCACACCCTCCTAAGCACAATTAGTGGAGATTGCGAGGTGTCTAGGTTGAGGCAATCTTCTTCGACCAGTGTCCCTTTACAAAACCGCTTTTCATAATTGAAAATAAAATTATGGCATGCACGAAAGTCGGAATTTTTAAGTTCAAATATCTAAAGTGTTGGCCTTAAGCCCTTGGAGTTAACAACTGCCTTTGAGATTAACTCTGAATTCGCACCACACTATTTTAAGTACATGCGAAGACCACAGATTTACTCCCGATATGCAACACCATTTCTACACCCTGCAGTATCAAAGGACATGTCCAAACGCAAAAAAAAACTGGTAGTGTAACACAAGAGAAATTGTCGGTGCCACCAGTCGCTCGACGTTTGCGGAGTTGAGGATAGATGTGCTCAGTCTTGTTGCTCAAGGGACCAGTCACAATGTCGCTCAACTAAGCAAACGTACACATGCATGACATTCAAAAGGGCAATTTTTCCTCAATCCAGGGATGATTGTACTTTTCACGTAGAGTTCGACAAAGAGGGAACATTGACGTTTCAACGTGGGGGATTCTCTTGCAAATTAAAAGTACACACGTGGCGCTAGAAAGTCGTTTCTTTCATAACTTAACAAGGTCAAACGAAAACCCATTAATTTACTAACGCTTTAAGGGCAATTTGTGTATTTGTGCGTTTTACAGAGTCCGAACGAGAAAACGTGAGTAAATTGATGCTAACGGTGTAGTTTATGAGGCATGTTATGATTGGGTCTACATTATAATGTCAATTATGCACTGATGGACATAATGGAAACCCATGAGTTAGGCTGTTATACTGTAATATACTAGCTTTACGCCATGCATTAATATGTTTCGCTTTAAGTTAATCATAGTTCAGCCAGCCAAATCCATCCAGAGTACACATCGGATGTAGTTTACCTGTACTTTGATCGTGCCTGGCGACTCGTCCGTTGCCAATGCCAACGACCTCGTCCCGCCGACTCACGGAGATCGTTAATTGGCGGGTGCTGGTGTGTACATGACTGCTGTTTAGCGTGGAGGCGCGGTAGGCCTGGTCGGGTGTGTCGGACGGCAGCCCGAGCGCCGCCTCGATTGGCACGCTCGCCTCGAATCTCGCCACAAAGTAGATCACTCCGTTCCCCGTGAGCTGTTGCCAGTGGCTGATGTACTGCAGCTTGATGTCGACAGCTTTCATCTCAGGAAGACGACTGCGGATGTCGAGGATGTGTCGAATCAACCGCTCGTTTGCCTAAAGACATCAAATACTTCGCTAAATGACTATTATTTAGGAATCTAATATGACTTTTTACAGCTAGACGGGTTGGGGCTGGAAAATGTGCTGTCGTTCGTGTTGCCAAGATACAGTTTAAGTTGCTTAATAATAAAAAATCACTAAAGTGCTATGATCTCTAGGCAATGGGCTGTGAGGTTGACAAAATTCTGGCGTCATAAAGATAGCATTCTACGCACATTTCATTTTCTTTTACCTGTAAGGCATAACCCAACTTCAGTAGTTTGGCATAACGCGTTTAATGTGTCATGTTTTGAAGTGCTGAATTGTTTAACCCACTTGTGACAGTAGTTTGATTTAGTGCGGATAAAGTACGAGACAAACAAGGCCATGTGCATCGAATACTGCAGCTGTGAAACACGCAAACACGAGCTTGCCTCACGTGGAGGAGTTTGGCTAGAATAAGACGATCCTCGATCAGTTTGAACAGGGTGACTGTGTCATGTATTTTTTCCTATTTGCATTTCAATTCGGAAACTCTAAAAATATGGCGGAACATGAAGGTGCATAACATATTAATGGGGAAATTGTGTGCCAAGACGATCCACATTTGTTGCATATTCTACAAGCGCTACTGCATAAAAAAATGCCTCGTCGAAATGACAGGACGCATGCCTCAACCACCGGATGCCACCTACAACAAGCACAGCCGCGTTGTTACGGTTAGAAAAAGTTGCTGGAAAAGGTAATTGTCGGCTGCTAATCTGTCCAGAGGCGCATGGTTTGGGCAATAAAAAAAACGATAACTTGAAAAACACTTGATTGCAATCTGTGCGTTGGCCCAATTACGGTAGGACCAGCTTCACCGTGATGGAATTCGCTCAGCTAACCTGTTGCGTGAGTCAACAAGAAAATCAACAAGGCTGCCACTAAAATGTCATTGAAAATATCAAGTAATACAACACACTTGACATTATGGCCACTAATTAATCACATATCGCTGGTGTTTGAAAAGGTAGACACTTATTAGAGATTGTGTATAAGAGCCTGCGTTGGTGAGGCGTGGTTGTCAATGAATCACCCGCATCTACAAGTTCAGCGATTTGCACGTCAAGATAAGTCACTTCACCGATCGCAGCTAACGGGATCGTGTTACACAAGATGACGAGACAACGATTTTGCGAAGGTTCCGTGAAAAGCAGTGGTAAGTGTCAAAACTCTGGCCATCTGTGCGAACATTGGAGTTCAAGAGTGATTTTGCAGAAAGCTATTAAAATTGCAAGTAGTTAGACAGAATACCACCAAAACTGATGACAGGGCTTGAGTTGAGTTTCATTGCAGGATGCCGTTTGTAAGGTAAGTGTGGCAAACCTCGTTCCTAATCAGTCAGTCAAAACACACTGGCCTGCTTTTCAAACCACCTCTCTACTTTTTAACAACTTCGTTTCAACCGGAATAAGTCACTGACGGTACACAAAAGCCGAGAATTCCTACGTAGCACCACACATAATGCGTTCCGTAATTGTTAGTGTTACATTGCACCTGACCATTTATCAGTTATTAACGCGCTTGCTAGAATGCCACAGTACGTGCGGGTTTGTACTTGCACTTAGCTGAAGCCTTTCATTGTGAATAAAGTCGGAAAATTTCACAGCTAACCAGATGGGTTTCTTCCAAAAGCAAAACAATGCTGGTTCAAACGTTGTGTCGGAAATGCTACAATCACCATCTACACGAAACGAGTAGATTGATCCAAATAAAAATCACGCACCTCTTCTTTGGCAGGCGGTAGACTGCCTCCTCCAGGTGCACCAGCGTCCACAGTTTTTCCTTGGGTCCAGGTGTGAGTTCCCTCACCCCATCTGCCAGCCTGCTCCCCCGCAAGTCGGTAAGGCAGTGCTACTGTGAAATTCCTCTGCAGCCACATCCTATCTTCCATGGAGGTTCTGTCGACATTCAAGGAAGTAATCTTTAGGGGCAGAGGAGTAAGCAACTGCAGCAGACTGGTTGTGGCACGCTTTTCGGCGTCGAAAAGACGCCTCACCGTCTCGGGTGTCGCCGCGGCGTGGCAGGAGGAGAGGCTGCCAGCCAGACGCACGGCCGCCCACCACTCGACGTAGTGCGCCTCGTCGGGCAGCCGAATGATGACCTCGTTGAGGAGGCCGCTCACCCGCGACACCGCCTTGCCGCACACCGCGCTTAGACCGCCGAGCGAGGTGAGTGAGAGGAGGGAGGCCCGGCGTTTTAGGCGCGTTGTGAGGGTGGCGTTTTCCGAGGTCACGTCACGGGTCAGGGCGCTAGAAAGTGGAAGTGCATTACGGATCATGGGAGTGAAGATTCTGATGGCGAAACGGTCCGCGGTGGGACTCAAGTCAGGCCACGACTCACAGCCGAGGATACAAATTGTCTCAATGGGAGGGTGCGAGTGCTGGAAGTCCTCTTGATTCTAAGGAATTAAAAGAAACAAATTCAGTTGATGCGAAAACGAATTTGCGAAGTTTAACGGCCAAGTCTCCGACTTGGGTTTTCAGATGGAGATTTAAGAAGGGCGAAGGATCACGGATTAGGAAATCTGGTATATGTACGGATCCCAAATGCCACATTGGAGCCGCTCTCTTAAAAACAAGTTTTGATTAGCGCAAATTTGATTAATAGCCGCTATTCCTCAAGCTTCATAACATGCTATTAAAAGCAGATCACTGCACCATAATAATGCGCACCGTATTTGGACAAACTCGAGTATCCGGAATCTGCCGTTGGTACTGAATCGCTTCGATGGTATTGCAGTGTTTGGGTAAATTAACTATGTGTAGGAGTAATATTTGAAGCGACAGGTGATACTTTCACGAAGTTTTTGAACCAGCCTGCAGTGCAGGCACTTTTTCGGAATGAAAGATTACTAAATGTTGAATTCGCCATTGAACTCCTAAAAAACACCACTCTTTAATGGGAAGCATGGACCATTTATGATTTAAAAATTATCCATGTCCGCGTTGTTGTTAGACATATTATTAACCAGGCGAAGAGAATGTGGTAAAGACCCGAACAGAGATTAAGTTCAATATTTATTCATTCGCATGACTAAGCCCTCAAGAAATAAAGGTAATGCCTTGCCTGAGCATTTCAAGCAACCACTCGTGAACCATGGCATTCGACCTTTATGTTTAATTTTTTGCCAGATTTGGCATGAGCTTCGGGTTGGGCGATGCAGGACCATCCTTGAACCTACGGGGATTCCAAAGAGCGCTTGTTGCGTGGTGCACGAATTCTGCTTTAGGGCAGCAAAATGTCTGCCGGTAGACGGGCAGACGAGTGCTCTCCAATCTCAAGGCCGTTTCGAAAAGCGAGTTCGTTTAAGTGTGTGTGTGTGTGTGTGCGTGTGAACATGAAAAGAATCCATGGCTAAGGTTATGGCTCTTAAAGTGAGCAAACTGCAAGCACCACGTGCCTTCAGTTGTTTAAGCACTTTGTGGGAGGGCTTTTAAAAACGCAACCCAACTGAATGAGTCATTTCTATAGTGGCGATATTACTGCAAAAATGCTTAATCCTTTATGAAATTAAAAGCAAATTTGCCTTATAAACAATCGATAATTAAAGCTGGTGCCTAAATTCGATTGTTTTGTAATAAAACTAAAAAATCGCGAATCAAAATATCACAAAAATCGATTTGGGGACTAAGCCCTTGTGGGTCAAGTGAGACGCCATTAGCGCCTAAATTAAGGTCTGAATGAATCAGTCACCAAAAATAAAGTTGCTGATGTCTCCTGTGTTTAACGAATTTTGGCAGCGAGGATCACGCGTCTAAAAATTGCGAGAACGCACAAATACATTTGGCATAAATTAAGAAATTTCGACTTCTTTGTATTGTTGTTTTTAACCTGCTTTGCGGAAAATTCTCAATAGGGGTTCTTTCGTGGCTTTTCAGTAAAGGCTATATTCTTCAAGATAATAACTAAAAAGTGTGGGGAATTTTATTTTAAGTTATGCGTTAATCATAATTGATCTAAATATTAGATGTTGATCGCATATAAATTATCTAGAACAAATTTGGTTGACTGAAAATGGTTTTTTATTGTCAAACGGCAATTAACAGCAGCTTAAAATGAAGACACTTCCACAGCTAACCTCTGATTACTTAAACAAAGTCGTGGTCACTTATAAATTCCAGTTGGATGGAGCAAACTGCGCACCAAGCTGCGGATTGGGTTTCAGTGCACTGATTTTTCTCAAAAAAGCCATTTGAGATAACATCAACTTGATATCTGATTGGCTAACCTCACTTGCCTGATAAACTGATGCCACAGAGAGGATGCGACGCTGTCTGCGGTGACAAATAGCCATGACACCACAGCACACGACAACGCCCTCTCGGCGTGCGTCGACCGGTTCACTTGGTGGTGTGAGACATATTAGCAGACGGCAGTGCGCCATCGGCGGTCTTCGCGTCTAACACAACTGGCTCACTCACGTACCTCCATGAATCTGCTTTCATTAAATACCTCTGCTGGTTCCCTCGATTTAAACACATTTGCACAACCGCCCGTCACTCTAGTATCAACAGAGTGGTTGAGCCGGCAACCAAAGACTATTCCTACGTCTTTGGCGCCTTGTGAACGTTCCAAATTTTTCTTAAAAAGCATCGTTTTTCCCTTTAATTATTAATTTCTTGTCATGGTTCAAGCGGTAGATTCCTGCCAGCAAAAACTTTAAACGTTCATCAACATTTTCCCTCTAGTCTGCTGTTAAACACGAATTTGTTCTCACAAAACGGGAGTGTAAAGGCGTACATTTCGTGGTCAAATTACGCCATACTTGTTTCTACAACAGGAGCTTCCATGTTCAACTCATTCTAGTAAACCACAAATAACTCAAGGAAGTTAATTATGACAAGTGAGTCTCGAATATCGGAAGGAACATACCTGAAGGAATCTTGGCAAAGGCTTCACAGTGCCTAATGTCGATTGACATAAGAGCTTAAAGCATTAAACAGTCAAATTTCACTAATGATTGCTTTAAACATTTCAAAATGTCGCATTTGTATTCTGAAAGTTACTTATTGTAGCCTTATTATAGAAAAAATACCAAATAATCGCGTTATTAGGAAGAAATAATACCAATTTGGCCCTCAATAATTCATGGATTTCGATTAATACTGCGGTTCCTGCTGAAAACAGGGTATCTGCAGGCTAATTGAGGCTGATTGCACATTATCCTGTTAATAGAACACGTTTGGTAAGTGCAGCATACTCTAGTTGATTGACAATAACTAACATATTAGTTAAAAACGCTTCGTTACAGTGATGTAGGGTACAGTGATTCCTTTACGCAGTTGTTAAATCCTAAGAGCTGGGGTTCCGAGTGGGATCATAATTGTCAGTGATCCAAAATCGAGAGTTTGCCTGCGTCATGTACACTTTGTAGTATTGATTTACGAGGGGTAATTGTAACCAGACTGAGCTTTTAAGATTTGCAGTCGCATTAGTGATTGAAAAGCAAACAGTATCCTCAATTATCTGATTTTGTGTATTTTTACTCGCTTACCTTAAAGAGGAAAAGAGTGGTCTTTTTTAGGACGACGTAAAACCGACGATACGTTTTAATCCCAAACATCCTCGGCTTGCAGACCTTGAGGTAAGTGGCCAATTCGGGCAGTGCTAGTTCACCATCAGTTCGCGCACCCGTCGACACCTTCAACCTCCGTGGGAAGTGGTGCTGTGCGGGTTCCCCGCGTGTCATGGTTCGGATTATGCTGTGGTCTTTTTGAAGGCAGGTTGCGGTGAGGTCCTCAAGAAGCATGTCGATCTCGTGGTCGAGGTCCTGCATGGATGTGGTGCGGCCTGCGCGACTAAGGAAGACATCACTGCCGAACTGCGAGGACTGTTTCCGAGGGGACTGGTAGAGAGGAGGCAAAGTAGACAGGCTTTGTCCGTCGACAGCAATCTCACCGCTAAGGGAGAAGGAATGGGGTTCTTTGGAACTGCTGTGATGTTCGGGTTCCCCAGCCACTTGCTGAAGCTGTAGAAAGGGAGGAGATAAACCACGCCAAATAAGTGATAGTTTATTGAGATGAAGTTTGTCAGACGCATTCGGCACCATCACATTCGGTAAGCGAGGTAAACGCTTAAGCCCACCGAGAACAAATAGAGAGGCTTTAGACTGTCACGTACACACGTGCACCGCCGCTGTGTTGTGCACATGAATAAACACGACTTAAGTAGACGTAGATGTAACTGATAACTTAGGCCATTGTATCCCGAATCAGTACACAATAACGCACTTAACGTCATTTTTTTTGTGGTAACCATATTGTGTTGGACTCTTCAATTGCATCTTTTTATTGGTCTTCTTTATTGACACTAAACCAATTTTATTACTCTGAAGCCAGTAACAAGAGATTGGTTGGTGGGTGAATACATCAGCAGAATCATAAATGGGGCAAATTATTAAAATTCTTGTTGGTTGAATCACCTTTTAACTTGTAACTGGCTCCCCAAAAGTACATGATGGGCTGGCACAGTGTTATTGACTTATAAATGTTGACTTCAAGGTCACCTAGTCGAATGATGATCTATTGTCGGACGATGCTTCTTTAAAATGGGTGCGCTTGTGCGACGCCATGAGGCATGGAGCTCCAATTTCGACACAAATTAAGCATAGCATTCTCACACCTACGCAATTTCTGAGAGATTTGGGTGTTCGTGTTTAAAGGGATAATTGAAGTGTTCAACTCTCAGTACATTTGGAGAGTTGACTAGGGTCCACTCACTGAAAATTTAAAATGCATAAAAACGCCTTAGTACAAACCGAGGCAATCACTTGTATGATTTTATAAAACCGTCTCTGAACTTCAGAGGGGTTTGAAAAATACAGCACTTAACTAGGTTTTTCCGAATGGCCTTTTTCCACAAGACGGTATTTAATTTGTTCTGCCACTATTGCTGTCGCCGATGCCTAACTGGACAGTTGTAAAAGTAAACTAAAATTGTGGGTTTGGGTTTTAATAACCCCTTGAAAAAAACTTTAGATGTAATTTCTTCGATTAAAACAGAATATACGAAAGTGAAGCTTTGAGAAATTAAGGAATTCGGCAAAGTTAATAGGTTTTCAGGAAAATAAGATTACTGCATACTTGACAGGGCTAAACGTCCTTCCACGGTCTCGTAAATTGTGAAGCTTCATTGTTGGTAAAAAGCTGAAGCTTATTGAATTTTGCATAAACTGCAACAATCCTGGCTTCCACTAAATCACACACACACCAGTATATTTTCAAGTATAGGGTGTCCCTCCAACTTTGACGTGAATCTGCGTTTCAATGACACGTCTGGAATTCATTTTGTTAAAATTAGCCTTCTGTGCGTTTACCTTTTATTAATTAGATATGCTGTTTAATGGGACAAAAACTTTTTGTGCATTCGGTGAAATGTGAATACACAACATGCATTTATTTCAAGATCTCAGAGATAGGCGCAAATATAGAACAAACTTTGAAGGTAACATAAAAAATTTCAAGGGGAAAGATTTGTGTGTAGATAAAGAAACAGATGATGACGTTAGCAGTTTTAAGAGTTGATAAACCAAGTTGGAGAGGCATTTTGGCATTGTTCGAGGAAATCTGTGGGACGAATGAGCCTAGAAACGCGGATCTCTAGGTTAGCCATCTTGTGTGGCACAGGAAAACACTAGCAACTGATTCCCCCGATGGCGTAAAATGCGCCAAAAAACATGACGATGGCAACCTTGAAAATCATCTTGCTTTTTAGTGATGAGGCCTCATTTACGCAGGAATGACATATTAGGCAAGAAAAGGACTCACTCAAAGTAAGTGCTATGCACCGCGTCAATCACTTACGTGTGTAGTTCAGGCTCTAACCAGTTGCCAAACCTTTGAGATATTGGAAAATTAGCATTTCACAGTCCTCCCGGAAATTTTCAGAATAACTATTTTTAAGCACAATTAAGACCATTTATTTTTACCCTTCTTTGCCAAATATTCTCCCCTACGTGGACACCTCAGATTCCTCAAATCTTGAGGATGTGGTAACTCAAATACTAGCAGAAGTGACGCAAGTTGACAACTGTCGCTGTGTGGTTTTAGCACATGACGTTATCTCGTGTAAGAAGGCCAAAATACAACTAGCTTTAGGCCAGACGTTGCATGTTTATTTAAAAACAGTGTGTTTGCTGTTATTTCCCCAGAAAAGAACAAAATCGGCTATGAACGCTTGGATTTTAGGCTTTCATCCACCGTTCCAGTTTATTGCATTCACACCATCAATAAGATGTGAAATTCTGTCTACAATGTGAAGTAAAGGTGTCAAAATTTTGTACGACTGTAATTCTACAAAATTATCATTACCTAGCTGTTGGTGTTTAAAAAATGGTAATTTTTTGTTTTGCCGAAATTCACGACTGAAACACTGACACCCTTGAATTTGTCGCATGAAAAAAATGGCACGGAAGAAACTTTGTAATTGCATAGTATCCCTCTGTTATTTGGTAAATAAATTTGTGCCAAAACGCAAACAGGGAACGTGACCGGAAATTGCCAAATGAATTGATTTTCAAAAGAGTACAAAGACAGTAAACCTAGTATTGTAAGGTGACAGGTTATTTCACGAGTCCAACTGTTTTACCCGAAAATTGTTAATGCACCTTAAGTTTAACATTTAAATTGGCTCCTCGATGTTGGTTTTAGCCTGAGAGTCGGCACTACCAGCTAGCTGCCTCGTTTAAAGTTGTCATTTTGACTAATTGAGAAAGAACGTTGCGAACGCCTTGACAGGACCCTGCTATTTCTCGTGCATCCACGACTCCCCGCGTGCGTATTCTGAAGGCTGTCCAATTCGACTAGGCAGCGCAGAATGGCACAGCGAGCAAAACCGCAGTGCCAGCCAGTTGTTCCGGCAAGTTGTGTAGGCGAGCGTGAAATTCCGCACGCCTAATTAGGGATAAGCCTGCTGCCTGGCGAAGCCGCGCAGACTTGCATCAGCTCCTGCGACGGTAAGACCGGGTTCATTTAACTTACCCTACCGGTTGGGCAAACGAAAAGAGACATTCCTCGGTGACTCACGGCTACCTCTGGCAAATAGGCACAGTAAACCATTACACGGCTCCTGATTCCTGAGGCTGACAGCACACGCCAACACACTCCGCTGTTTGTCTTCAAACACTGAGCTTACACTTGGCATGGGAGTTATTGGGGTGCGTCGCAGTTTACCACACTTTTCTCTTGCGTGTGATGCATCACGTGAGTAAATTTGCCGATTTTCTCAAACCCAGCCATCGCAGATGAATTAAAAATCACACGACGTGATCAGACAACTACTTGGAAATGGTTTCTTCGTGGCCTGCGACTGCAAAAGCACGAAGCTCGTGCAAAAGAGCTCGATTATTTCATGCACATTTTCGGAGGAACGGTGAAGACATGCGAATTTTAGGTGACAGTTGTCCTGGGCTCATTCACACAAGGAACATTCGGTGTCATTGGATTTTGCAGAAATTTAAGCCGTCAACGTCCTGACCTGGAGAGAAAACCCTGTCAACAGATCAGCATTTCACAATAAACTTGACGTAAATGCAGAAAAGTGCTGAGTGGCAAATAGGTGGAGCAGTTTTATGTGAATAATGATGATGCGCAATTAACTAGTGACATTCTGTGGCACGTTGTGAGAGAATCGGTGCCTCGGGACATTACTCATGAAGCATTCAAATGGCGTTTTAAGATGAGGGGGAAATCGTTAGTTGTAAATCTGCTTGTAAACATGCAGGATACTTATTGTGTTTGTTTTTAAAACGGCACGAATTCGGTTGGGTCAAAATGTTTCTATTTTAGGGAATTGGCGCTGGCAAAGACCATTTTTTATTCGTTTCCAAATAAACTAGATGTGCACTTTTAGCTAAATGACGTCTGCCCCAAGAAATTCTCGCTTGGATTGAATATATTCAAGAGCGACCCTTGTTCGTGACATCGGCAGTTAGGGAAGTCTTCTGCAAATATTCCTCTCATCTTAAGGACCGTGCCCAAACCATGAAAGAAAATATTGCATGCCTAAGTAGAAGAATGTCTCTCAGGGTCAAATCGTTCAAATAGAGGTGTTCGCGACCCTTAATTAAAGTCAATGAGGTAAATTTCTTGCCAGCATTCCACCAAGCTTCAATAAGAGTTTTATTTGGAAGCACAACAATTTAAAGCAGGGCTGTCGGAATTAAACATCTGCTAGATCTCATCTATGGTGGTCATTGCGTAAAGCTCTAATTCGTTAATAAGGCTACGAATTACTTTGTTCAAATTGACACTTATGAAGATTTTAACTTGTATTACAAATACCCCTCGTACTTTACAAAGACAACCAACTTTGTCTACAGGAGAGGAGTCGCCATTTTAGCATGTCATTTACAATCATAAATGTCTGAAGAAGATAGCTCTTCAAATTTAAAATGTTGAGCTGATCGCTAGTAATGAAACGCTTGTAAGTTCATCGCTTGCACTGATATATAAGTATTCTGTGACGGTGTTACGGTTTAGAGCGGTCGAAATGCTAACCAAATAAACCTAAAATTTAAGAAAACGGGAAACACATTCTACTAAGCGCATTGGGCACTTATGCAACAAATTTTGAACGAGTAGAAATTGTGTTACCGCATTAAAAAAGGCACCCGTTTTATGGTAATGTTAAATTAACTGTAGCCTTAAAGTCTGGACATCAGAACAGGACGATAATGCCTGTAAATACGCAGTTCGTTTGATATTTATTCCTTCTAGGCAGTCTGAGATAACACCAAAGTTGCAAGGCCAGAAAAGCATAGGCAAATTTGAAGGCAAATGTGCCATGCGACTAGAGATACATTTTTCTTACGTGGGCAATCGATGGTCATGCATATCTGAGCACTTTTTTCTTGCGTTGGACGCTAATTAACATTGCCTTCTCCAGCTAATGACAAGTTAAAAATGCAGCCCCATCATGGCTTTATAACCACACACACTACTTACTTTTAAAACGGTCATGTATCAGTGGAAGACCAGAATCGACATTGTTAGTGTTCCATTACGCATCCTCGCAAGCAAACTAAGAAATCGGGCTAATTCAATGAGTTAATACCATTCTTTCCGATGATAAATTGTCTCCGAATCTAACAGGAATTGTGTAAGCATAAGCTTGTTTATACTAAGTCCATGCTCAATGATGTGGCAAAACGAGGTTTTCCAAATCAGCCCGAGTGGATGATTGGTTTTGTGGCTCTACCAGTTAGAGCAATAGCAAAAAAATTATGAACGGTGCGCTTTACTATTTATTACTGCATTTACAAAAATTTAAAGGAAACATGGCGCTCAAAAAATTGATAACTTTTATGGGTATCATGTGCTAGCGGAAGTTTACCTTACCAAACTTAGCTTTTTCATTCAAGAAAAACACATTTGCTCAAGCAGAATGAGCAATGCGCCTGAGACTGCACCCACGCTCTATGTTTCCAAATTCTGTCTTCTGTAACAATGGTAGAATCTCTAAATAACTTTTCCAGGGTAGACAAAAGTATTCTAGTGGAGAATTGAATGGAATTTAGATTCTACAAGTCCCTTCCTCCAGTCGCCTGCTTTTTTTTATTTCAAGGACATTCTAGGACGGGATTAAAAATAAACATTAGGAAATGCGTAATTATAGGATGATGAGCTTGAAAAATATACCGCGACGAACACTTGCCTAACTACGAAGCCGAGACTGTGTTTAATTCCATGTTGTGACTTTTAACTTGCTTGGCAAATGCCTTTTGAAGTGGCCCTGGGACCAAAAGAGCTTTCTACAAACCAACTTGTGTTCGGGAGCATTCTGCTGAAAGGTAACCATGGAAAAAGATATCGTGGTGTAATGCTAATCCCACGACGTCTTATTTCTGATCTGAACTTCTTCTCAAACGGATTGTACTTTGGTTTTGCATTATAGTTTACAGCTTTGTATGACTTTTGGCGAAAAAGACAGCAATGAAGTAAATCGCCTCCTTATTGCACCAAAAAGGAGTAAAAGTTAAGGTCTAAAATCCATTTGTATATCAACTACACATATAGAGGAAAAAGGGATAGTACCGATTCCCAGTAATACAAAATCTCATCAAAAACGCCTTTGACAGTTTAAAGTAAGGTTTACATTTACAAAACTTATCTAAATTCTTATTTTGCGTCTTGCCACTGTCTACATTTCCTAGTTTCTTGCAGAGCGAATTCCAAAGACAAAAAAATGTGCGGCAAGGAGTAAAAGTACAAGATCCTGACAGTCAAAAGTTACGGAACGATGGCATGCGAAAAGTAATTGTTCCGTCGATGTTCAGAGGAGCTACCCCTTTGGCGAATTTGCACAGCATTGGTGGCCCGTGGAAGCCACCGGAGCATCCGTGGATTCCCTTCGGAAGCACGCAGGCAACTTTTGACGTGACTGCATGCTTTAAAACCACACAATATACCAGCTCCCGCCTTCTGACTCATGGCTGGGAAAATGTCTGAAGCCTGACTCATCCTAACCTCCGGTCTGATGACTAGGCTTGCTGGCTTGACTACCAAAACTACCGGTAATTTCTAGGATTCACGTTATGACGTGAAAACGACGAGGATACTTTTAACTTCAGATTATTGAAGAAATACCCCCGCCTTCATTGGGATTGAAAATATGAACCCATGTCACTCTCATTCTACCCTAGAAAAAAATTCAAATGACGTTTCCATAAGATTTGCAGAGACAGAAGCGCTTGCCCAACTGATCAAGATTTATACTGTAGATAGAAAACAACCACGGATACGTGATCTGCGTCAGCAATCTGAGTTTATTTCGCTTTGGTCGCTTTAGCTGGTGTTCAGAGTTAGATTTTAGCAAAACACTTCCTACCGTATTTTTACAACCCAAATTTTGACGTTAAAATCGTGAAATCATTTAGGTTGTAGTGTTCAGTATCACTTCAAAAGATGGTAGATTATTGGTAGAACTACCTTCTTATTAGCACACAAGCACAGGACCCGGATTCTTTCGCACTCTTGATCTCAGCAGAAACATTGAATAGTTTCTTGACATTTTCGTGCTTTGCGCTTGAGTTTAGCGGTCGACATTGTTAAAATAGCGGACATGATAAATAAAACTAAAACAGTCAAAACTGGGGTCCTAAACTCGGTTACGAGGTCGGATCTTCCAACTACTTGAATCGGTGATCCAACCTCATAACGTCACCTGCAGTTCTTACCTCGGGGTAAAACAAATTTTTTTCCTACTCCGCTGCAAGAACACCAGTCATTGACCTGCTCTGAAAAACTAATAGCCATGGATATTAGCTGCATCTTGTATCTTCGCTTTCACTGGTTGTTCAATTTCGGAACGCTAAGCTTACAGTCCCGCAATTGTAGCTTCCAAATAAGGCTTCCAATCATCCGTTCTGCAACCTTTTTCAAACCATATTCGCAAAATAAGCCCCGAAAAAAAGTGGAGAAGAATTGCAGAACGCCAAAAGCAGAAAATGATGAATTATCTGCCACAGAAAATCACCTTAATTTAAATCCACAATCAACAATCTATGCCAAAAATCTAGCAAAATCTCAAGCAATGAGCGTGCCCGATTCAAAAGGTGAATAAGTGAGGTGTGGCCGCCAACAAAGTACTTAAACCAGCATGTGTGAATTTTTAAAAAAGCCATTAACAATGTGGAAAAGTAAACATGAATTTGGCTCAAGCCAGAACGAGAAAAAAAACTTTGGTTAACATTTAAATGAGTGTATTAGGGTTGTGCTAAGCACAATGCGTCTACCATTCCAAAGCTAACAGTTTGACTACCGTCCATCGCACAACATTTGCAGTTTAAACGCCTCCCGTAATGGACAATGAGCATCAGCAGGTAGCCATCAAAACAACAACAAACAATTCAGAAAACGCGCAAAATGTTTGGTTGTGCCCACTTTACCACTGATGAAGTGACGAAATCCAGGAAACAAAGCGTGTGTCGAAGGGAATCACCATGGCGTAAAATAGCAAGTTTTCGAAGAAAATCAGATGTTAGGTATGAAGTGGGTGGTGACAAGGACAAACAGTGAAGCAGCCGGTCATCCAAAACCGGCACCCGAATCTGACGAAAGAACAAGTGGGAAAACAGGTAAACATCAAGGGGGTAATCTAGGATCTACCCCAACATTCACTGCTTGTAACGCACATGACCCCACCTCTTTTAAACATTGTAAAGTGATTAAACTACGATAATACCTGAATTCTACTAAGTCTTATTCAGAAGAGTAGCGTTTATTCGTGTGTGTGTGTGTGTGTAACCAATTATCAAATCCTGTTCCGTTTTATCAGCATCAAATTACTTCGAAATTTCCAAAAATTGACTAAGTATTCCAGGCGAACAAAAAAATACGGTTACTACGTTTTCCTTCTAGGATCTATTTCAAATTTTCATCAGGTCGCTAACTGTTCAAGTTGCTTCAACCCTGAAGAAATTTGTGGTGGTTATTTTTTAGGTGGCAAGACTATGGAAGCATACATTTAATGATGACGTTAAATATGTTCCGACAGACCCGGTTCTGTAGAAAAATCCGTCTTGAGTTTCGCAGTTATGTTTTTTGGTGTAATTAGTACAACCACTGGCCCGTGATCAGACTCTAAACTCGGAACGCACACACCAAGCTAAAACCAATCGAGATTTTTTGTCCTCCAGCCGAATCTGCACGACCATCATCATCATCGTTGTTCAAATTTCCAACGAGTCTGCAAGTTGTAGACTTCCAGAGTTGCTTAGGTAGCAATGTGTTGACAGTGCGCAAAAGAAGTAACATGGAGGAACGCAATGCATTTAGACACCATTATGTAGTTCGACTTTTGCTACAGAGTGCATGAATGACCACCGAGTTGTATTAGTCCCTTTTGGTTGATTTAGGTAAGTGATGCCTACGTGACCACCAAATAGACCTGAGGCATTAGACCAGTGTATCCTGATTGAAACTACTAAAAATTTTTAAGAACATTGACAAATCCTTAATTAAAGTGACTAGGTAAGTTAATATTCCTTCTATTTCCAGAGTAAAGAAATAACCTCACGGGAGCTAGATTTACGAAGCATTAGCACTTTGTGGCACTCCAACTAAAGCGGCTTTTAATTGGCTACCTCAAGGTTGGCCCTTCGTTGCTGTGACCTTGTTTCCTGCTCAAAATATGCTTGTTGAATATGCACACGGTCTTTTTTGACATCACTTTGACACAGTTTAGAACTTTAAAACAGCGATTTTTGTGGGTGGTGAAGGGCGAAGGGCTTTCGTTCCACAAACAAACAATGTGCACTGAGGATATTTCCCGTCGGATAAAAAACTACCAGTTCTGCATACGGATGTACTATAAAAGTAAAATTCAGTGGCCACGTTCCTCCTTAAAATTCACCCGTAATTTTATACCGATCCGAAAGTCATTAATAAAATCGAAAGTCTGCTATTTACAATGTTGTACTAACTGCCAACTTGCAAATTCTCGTTTGAATGAAACCACCGTTTTAAAATTTTGTGTTTCACAGAAACTCGTGAGGATTTGCCAGACTCCACCAATTAAATTGAAATCTTATGGAGCATTCGTCCACAGGTATGTCATACAACAACTTGCTTAAAAGTCCCCAGATTCTCATATTCAGTCAGTAAATATAAGATATCAAAACATCTACTCAGCTGATTGTTATAAACTTTAGTAGTGATGGAATTAAATGCTACTTAAAGACCAATTACCTGTAGTTGTAATGCTGCAAACAAGGCCGCCTCGTCATTGGTGCATTCAGTAGCCTCCGAAACTATCGACCATCGAGCCTGTTCGTATAACTGGTTTATACGCACCGAATTATTCTTTCTCGTCAAACCGTAAAATACGTTGTACTTAAACCGCAATCGAAGCGTGGGAAGTTCGGTCTGCACTTCCTTTTTATCCCCATTAACACCGTTTTCCTTGCCATCAGTTGCGTCTAAGACCTCGCAGTCGTCCAAATTAATTGGTGACGGATGGAGACCCTGCTCCATCAGTGAACGCCCAAGTTCAAGCCACAAGTTCGAAAATCGGGCACGACTTAAGAAACTGCGTTGTCGTACAACGCCTCCTGAACTCAGTGCATCTGAGAGGGAGACGTGAGGGCTAGAGAGCAGGCTCGGGTCGTCACAAATCTCCTGTTTACTAAACACCGTCCCGTAGAGGGTCTGAGAAAAGTAGAGAGAATCAGGCCTGGCAGAAGCAGGAACCGCAGTGCCACTTAGCGGGCGGTTACGGACTCGAGGGGGACCGTAGATTTGTGGCCTGCGTTGAATCGTTTGAGTTGCGCCGCCGTTGCGCGGCTGTTTATCTGTATGGTCGATTGATGCGAGAACACAACTAGCAGGCCTTTTCTGTAGTGTATCATGTTTCGGGGGTGGACTAAAGGCAAGTTTTTTGAAAGAACGTCTTGCGGAGGCAGGAAGTGTACTCCATTGTTCATTCCAAAGGTGTGTTTTGTCATGAATACTGTTAAGAAAACGACCTGAGTCAGTATGCTGAAGAGAAAGCTCTTCGGGGTGTTTTATTCCGAGATGCTTGCAGATGTGAATCACCACGCGAAATACTGGCTCAGTGAAGTTAACGTCACAAAACACTCTAGTCTGTAGATCAGGAAGCTGAATTTTTAGTCGGCCATGGGTTCGGATGAAATGAAGCCTAGCGTCGGCTTGTAATCCGTATTGATCCAGACTAGCGTGCGTCTGCAATATCCATCGATTTTTCGCCGGCCACCAGAGTGCGAATTCCGACCAACCCGCGTGTCCAAGGCCCGGACAAAGAGGGATATCAGTTGTCTCTGAGTTGAGTTTTGGTGGATGTGAGAGATTTTCAGTGAGGCCAACTAGCACTCGTCCAATTGACCAATCTCCTTTTACTCGCATCTGCCGATCCACACTCAAGGAGTCTATTCGAATAGAAAGTAACCATGATCCGTCTACGTAATGTCCACCCTCCGAGATCATTCTGAAATTATGCTACTGGAATAACTGCATATTCGCTGTGGGCGAGTAATTTGGAGCTCCCGAGGAGGAACAGACCTGAATGAAACAATGCACGCACTTCACCAGTGAGCGCAAGTAGGCTCGTGTAACACGTGTTGGCAACCTCCGTAAGGGAGATTTAATTGGCTGAAACGCCTGCGCTCGATTGACCAATGGCGAGCCAGATAAAATCCTGCCGGTAGCGTTCGACTACATAGGTAATAGTTCCTAGCTTGGGATCAACAGCGGTCCTACACTTTCGAACCTTTGTTTTTACCTAGACCTCTAAGACTGTAAACATAAACATAATTATTAGTTTGTTATTGGACTAAGTAATTTGGTCCCAAAAATTAGGTGAGACTAGGCAAAATTAATTAATCATTTTGTCTGCAAAAAACACACCACTGTAATTCGCTTTGCACCTTTTAAGCGAAACACAGTGGCTTTCTTCCCTCTAGAAACATCAAGCTGACCACGTTTAGAAAGTCATTTATTGAAACCAACGCAGATATTGGACAATTTTTAAATTATTTCAATCACGTAGAAAGCAATAAGCATTGTTTTGTTACGAAACCTAAGCTTATAGCTTTGGTAAAAGCCAAAACTGGTATGCCTGGTGTGTGGGATGGCTAAGTATACCTTAACCTATCGTTATATCAGGCCACAGTTTCTGATTCCGAGATCTCAAATTTCTTACGTCGTATACAACTTTTGCTGCTACACAAAGAGCTTGCTGTCAGTTAATATTTTTCTGTTCAAGTACAGCTTGATCCACCCTTATTGAAAGCGTGAAGTGATCATGTGGCTTCCAAACCATTCCTGCATTCAATATTCCTCGAATGACTAAGCAGAAATAACTACAGCAATCACAGTACATGCATTTCCACAGAATAATCCAAGTGTGTTATGCTTCTCGAGTGTTAACAAAACAAAACCTTCTTGGATCAGATCAAAAATGAGGATGAAGCATGATTTGTGAATGGCAACATAACGCGAGAAAGAACCTGGAAGCGTTGAAGTGAAAGGCCAGAATCTATGGCAAAGACTGAAGTGCATTCAATGCGAGTGATTGTAATGTGTTCGTTGGGGGCATTGCGAAGAAATCATTTTTACGTGCTTTTTCCACGTGGATAAACAATAACAGAGTGGAAGAGCTGTAAACAGCTCACCCAACTCAATGTTGACATTTGAAAAAGCATCACCATGCACTACGACGGCATTTTACCGCATGTTGCGTAGTATACAAAAAATATTAAATATGACTTCGGTAAACGGTATCTAAATCTTTTAATCCTAAACTATCTGAAGGCCTTGAGGAGGTTAGGTGGTGGATTATTTATTTAAATTATTGGTCAGTAGTAACTGAACCATAGTCAATCTTAAAACGTCACATTTAGAGTGAAGTGGAAGCATTTGGATGTAGTTATAATCCAATATAACGTGAGGCTACAATCATCACTCCATCACTACCTATCTTCTGACAAAAGATATGGAGGTCTACGTTATTTATTACACTTTATCGCGACAAGCCATGTGTTCTGCCATGCTAGTTCTTCACAGTTAAAATTTCAGCACACAACTGTGCGCTTTGAATTGAGTTTGAAGATTCCTCATTTGGTGCTGATATTCGAGCCGTATATTTGCAAGAAGATTGGTTTTTTCGTTTGAAAAGGCTCGCAGATTTAACTTCTGGGGGCAATCAAGGCGAAGGGTAATTAGGCAAACGTTTAAGAGGCCCTTCAAGCCCTGCTGAGAGACCCAAACCCCTCCTTTTCAATTTCAGAACAACTTAACTTGTTGAAGCTTACATTAGTGACGTGATCGAATTCAGGTTTCAATGGAGGGAATAATTTTGTAATGACTCATACTAATTTAATATCCAGAAACGGTACGTTTAAAGGCTTTGGATAAAACCGTCAGCCACGAAGTTCTACAGCATCCTACACGAATACGTTAATAGAGAACCAATGGCACACGCGACTCACTTCTAAATAGCTAGAGAATTTGACTTGAAATGGCAACCTTCTGAGCAAGTAGAAAATCTCTAAATTGAATTATTTTTCAACAACTAAGTGAGAATCGCATATTGCTAGCTAATGACGTCAGCTCAGTTAGCGGTTTTCTTAAATTTACTAGAATTTTAGACTTAGTATTAATATGCAGCAATGCGCAAATTTATTTGGAATTGATTCGCCGATCAGGCATCGATTTTAGTGCTTCTCAGCCTCGCAAGTCACAAAATGGAAATGCATTTCATGCCAACCCTGTTGTGTTCACAAGTCGTCTCCAATTGAAATACCCAATTTATTTGTAACCAGCAATGCCTGTGGCTGTCAACTGGTAAGCCTCCTGCTTAAACTGGCGCCCGCTCTCTAAAATGACACTAACATTTCCGGGCTAGTGCGTATCTTGCAACACCTTCATAACTTTAAGTCGATTTATTAAACTTGGCTTTGTCATCTAAGCTAGTTGAAAGTGCAATTAGCATCATGGTTGTATTGTTGACTTGCTAAAATTAGAATTTTACTGCTCTACGTTAAGCATCTGTTCAAGTAGGTCCATTGAAAAATTCTTAAGTAAACGAACTTTTGCTGAAACACTAAAAAAAATAACCAACCGTGGGGCTCTGATATGCATTGGAAATTCGGAATTTAGGTTGATGAAGCGATTGAACTATCATGTATGCTACTGAGACCCTGTCTTTCAGAACTATTAGAAAGTAATGTGCAGATGATTTAACTTAGATTAGTATTTGATTAAAATCGAAATTTCCTAGAGCAATATACTCATTTATTACTAACCTTTTAGTAATATATAAATCTTAGGGGTGCTTCATAAACCTGTTGGTGAAGTTTTACAATGAAATAAAACTGTTTTGGTGGATAGCTTTCATGACACGCACTTGACAAGATTATTTATACCCACTGATAAGCAGCAACACGTTTTCTCACACCGTTGAAGTTTGGGTTGCATCGCTGTGACTGAAAAAAGCGCTTTGTATACGTGGTGCGATTGCTTGCTAGGTGGACTTCAACCAAATTTAAATGTACACTTGACTTCATGGGTATTACTGAATGTTTTACCTTGAGTTAGGCAGAGCACTTGCCAAACCAAATAGTTAACGCAATTTTTTGTTTCTTAGCTTCAACTGAATAATTTATAAAACCTTTTTTTCAGACACATCCATACCGGGAACGACTCTCCAAATTTTAAATGGATAAAAACAGATTTAAATGAAAGCAGAAAGTAAGTCTCTGGATTATTATTAATGAACGGTTTTCATTTTTTAGCTAACAAAAACGAAGTCGGGATAAAAACTTCATTTTCCGTTAGTAGCCTGTCAAAAATTCCTTTCCAAAACAGCCTTGGCGAGCAACGGAGAGTGCTATGAAGGACTTTTAACGTGGATTTTAACCGTGTTTCCTAGCAAAAGACTATTTATGAAACAGATTCTCAAAATTCACCAATTATAACTTTACAAGTGCTGCAATTTCTCAAATGATGTTCTAACACTTTAATTCTTAAACTCGCATGGACCCTACACATTTTCTTCATGATGCTAACGCGAATGCTCCTTTTCCAAACTAAAATTTAGCACAACTGACAGGGAAGGTGATAATTAACCCAACACATTAAGCACCTTGAAATCTGTGTTTTAGAAGTTGTCTGATCAGTTGCAATTGTGCACATCCTGATTCACTGAAAAATTCGGCCAAATAAGCAACCCGGTCCATTTTCGTGAAGAATTGGATCCCTGATTGTGTTCTTGATCGAGGAGTTCATCTTAGTGGAAATCGGGCAGTCGCGGTTGCAAGAATACCTGCCATTAAACATCTGGAGATTCAGCAAACCGAAAAGGAAAAGCAGTTTCGGAGGCCGTTTATAAATACCACGTTGGTTCGTCCCAAAAATAATCCCATAGTCTTTGGTTTGCCCTTTCATCTCGACGGCTAATCCGATAAATTGCTTGAACGAACTATGATGGGAGTGGCATAACCTTTAGCCTCACAAAATGACATTTTCCTTGGCACCACTAAGTTGCAAGTTATCCCTTATCTGGAATAAAAAGGCCGCAAAAGTACCAACTCATTTGTCCAGTTTTGCGGCAATTAGGTTGCCTTTCGACCAATGAGGGAAGCGAATCTTGACTTCCGCTCGGGAAAGGATCATTGCAGCAGCATTTTGTGGCTTCAACAGAATGTGATTTTTGGTGCGACTTTAACTCAAACAATTGACTGGGTCATTTTAGTTTCCTTTATCGAATGCATGACTTCATTGCAAAATTATTAATATTATGTCCAGTTCAGATAACGCTTACAGGAAGATGCATTTGCAAATCATGACTATTTGTGTGACCGTTTGTACACTTATGTCTTGTTAACTCTCATTTGTACTCTGTTGAGGGCTTTAGATAGTTGAAGGGCTTTGATTCCTCACGGTTTTCTGATCTATTCCTTATCCGATTGTCCCGTCCAGAAATTGCCATCGGAGAGCTGGTACAAAAAGAGAGACCCAATGCACGCGTGCCCTTCTACTAAGTCCCACTTATCGACTGACTTTTGCCACGTTAGGTTAAGAGGTTTCTTCACTCCCAATGAATGACAGTCATTGCCTCCAAAGGCTAAAATCTGATTTTCACTTGGATCTAACCTTATTACGTATCACATAAAGTGGTGATCTTCCATTAACTTCTTTTCCATTCGTAAGTTGTCTAATTAGTGGTTGAATACCTGGAATCAGAAGTTAAGCTGGATTGTGTTAGGATTTTCCGATTTCTACTTCTGCACACGAAAGTCCGCACGAAAAGAAAAACAACGCAAAAGATTCAATGAGGAGGGAATTTGTGTGAAACAGCGAAGACAGATGGGGGCAGATGTTTCGCTCTGATTTGCGTTGCCCAACAGGGAGCAGCAAATAAAACCTCCCCACAAATAAGCAAAAAATCGTGCACTTCAACACCCACACACATAGGAGAACAGCAT